TTGGTCATTTTTGACCTCCTTGCCCTGACAAGTATAGAATACTAAATATGAAATTAATGCAACAATTTCAGTCTTGGAAATATAAAATCATACTGAATTCATTTACACAATCCTGTATTACATTGAAAATGATCCAATTAAATATAAGTGACAAAATTAGAACCTTACGGTTGAATTTACAATGTTTTACAAAAAATTTACATCAACTGTACATTTGACACAAAAATAATGAAAGTAAACTTCTATCAACCCTAACTACGTATACGAGGGTTCACCATTAACCACGTCGCCATCATGACCTGAAAAATGTTAAAGAAAGGGGTGAGCACGGAGGCTCAGTAGGAGATGTCTGAAGCACTTCCTTTGGACTCTCTTGAGCCATACATTACACATACGAGATAAAAAAAAAATCGGGATCATACTTGGGGTTTTCATAGCATTTAATTCATGAATCAATCTCAACAATACTATTTAAGCATTTCAATGCAAGTATGGATAGAATGCAATGCAATGTAAAACCCTATAATATCCCAACGTTGGTCTCAACCGACCCCAAACTTGGCCTTTACCGGCCACAAATCCCACCTACCCTAACCGACTTTACCGAGTTGGGATTGACACTATCCCTAGCCTCTTGGCCATTTGGAGCCTAGTATCAACTTTTTCACATCCTATACTGGACCGCGCCCACTTTAGGTCTAGTTAGCACCAGGCTCACGATACCTGGTCTATTTCTAAAAACTTTCATTTTCTGCCTATCCTAAGATGGCTAGCTTGTTAAATTTTATTCAATTTCTTCACCGTTCTAAGATGGCCTAATATCCTTCTCATTACATCTTTCCCCGTCACGCTATGCATATTATTCAATTTCATCCAATTAACTTTCAATTTCATATTTTTGATAACCGTGGCATAAGCATAACATTCTCTATAATTCAAGCACAAGCATGGCATTCCTTACAATTTAGGCACAAGTATATTATTCTCAATACTTCAATAACAAACATGTTTCCTATGTAAATCATATCAACAAAATCATGCTAGTACTTTGGCACAATTAAATAATTATTCAATTATTTAATAATAACACTTCAATTGCAAGGAAATGAAACATTTTATACATTAATGCTAGCATGCTTTCATCACATCTTCATCAATTATCATTTCATTCATATCCTTGCATTCAATATAGCTAAGAAAAGATTCAATAGAAGATTACTCAACAAAAGGCAAAGTATAAAACATTAGGAATCCTTACGTCAATTGTGTGCACCCAAACATGCCCTTAGGTAGCCAAACAAGCCCTAAGGCTAACCCCAAATTCGAAATACCACCAAGCCCTAGTAATAAGGGTCTTAAAAGAAGGCCTTTATGTATAAATCAATTATCCCTTCTTGATTTTCCTAAAATTCTCACTCTAAACCTCCCAAATCTAACTTTAAACATTGGTGTATATGGTATATAGATAGGAGCCGAGAATGACAAGAAGTGTGTGTGTGTGTGTGTGGGGGGGGGGGGGGGGGGGGGGGTCCTCCAAAGCTTGTGTGGCCTTCTCTTGCCAAGTGTCAACATCCTATGGTTACATACTTATTGTCCAATTACCATCTTACACTTGCACTTTTATTTCAATGCTAACAAGATCCCCAAAATATCTCCTCTAATATATAGATACACATATATGTATATGCATGAGAAAAGTCCATAATGCCCCTCTATACAAACGGCAAAACTGGGAGAAGTTCCCAAGCCCGAAAGTCGTCCCGACTTCTGAAAAATTCTAAAAATGACCCTATCCACTCTAATTGACTTAAAATAATTAAAATTACATTTCTTAAACCATCGACTCGATAAATGACCAAAACGACCCTCGTGCCCGCACGCAAAACGAGGCACAAAAATAAATAAAATAAAATTTTGAAATTTTTTTTGAAAAATCTGGGACATTACAGGTGCCGCCACAAGTGTTGAAGGACTCAACGATGAATGAATCAAATCAATTAGACGATGATGGATTGTCGATGAGCTGCAACGCCGATAAGTGACAAGATATTTAACATGAAGATTGTGGGTTTTTTTGGGTTTTCGGAGCAAATCGGATAACGACGGGTGGTTGGAGAGTCGCAACACTAGCAATGGCGAGATCTTTAGCATGAAGATTGTGGGTGTTTTTTTAGTCATTGATGACCAGCAATAGCGAAGGAAGTCATGTCATGGGTTTGTCTCCATATAGATAATAATGATGCCTTTTTCCATCTATATTGTTTCTTTATTCCAAAACTTATTTTATTGCTTTAAGAAAAGCCATGGCTTTAAGCCCATATTCATACTGTGTGCTGGCAAAGGTGCCCGATTTGGTTTCATTCCCTGTGATGGCTTTGAGTCCTTATGCATATAATCACTCATGTTTATCAAAGTGCTGACGTTAGCTTAATTGGATCCATAATCTTTGTGCATAATATATTTTTGCTACCACTTTAGGAATAAGAGAATATATATATTAGGGTTAATTACAACGACACCCCCTGAGGTTTACCATATTGACAATCATATATAACTTAGTCCTTTTTTGAACAAAGACACCCCCTGTGAGAATTTTGATCCAAACAAGCCCTTAAAATTTTAGAAAAGACGAAATTGCCCTTCAATATTTAATTCATTTTTTTTTGTAAAATATCAGAACTCATGAAAAGTCAAATTTGCCCTTATATATATACATTATTACCAGCACCATCATATCATATATAACTATAAAACTATATATATATATATATATATATATATATATATATATATATGGGCCAAGAGAAAAGCAAAGGGGAAGACCAGCACCGCCGCCAGCTACACTGCTGCAACTTCCACCCTCTCTCCGTCCACCATCTCCCTCTACTTCCACAATCTCACCGCCTCTTTCCTCCACCTCTGCCACCGCCCCCGCCCCCACCCCCCTCAGCCCTTCAACACCATAAGATCAAAGCTTTCATCTCATCTCATCTCTCTCGTTTGGAGGAAGAGCAGCGGTGGCGACGAGGCCTTCATCCTCTCTCCCAGCGACGTCTGCAACACACACACATTACAATCCCATCATCGTTGTCCTCACCTAACCAAACCCGAATTGTCAAATTTCAAACCCCGTAACCAAAACCAATTCACAAAACCCAAGCGCAAAACCCAACCACAGAACCCCAACACAAATTAAGGCTAGGCCAACCCAAAATCGTCACCACTGCCAAAAATTGTCTTGCTATGGTCAGAATATCATAGTCATCACCAAGCCTGTTAATCGTAACCGGAGTCACGTTTCGCCACCATGAAATGCAATAAATGAAACGTCGATTCGCTTCCTGATTTGAAGCGTCAACGCATCAATGACGTCTTGATCGCCACTATCGTCGAAGAGAATAAGTCGTTGCCCTTGGATGAGTGTCGCGACGTGACTGATTCACTCAACCCAGTCGCCGGAATCGATGGCATCAAGCGACAGTGGTGCTGTCTAGTGACGTTAAGGTATTGTGACGGCATCGGATTTTGTATTTTGATTTTGTGACATGATAGCTCTATTTCGAGCACCATGGTGGTGGAGGTGGTGGTGGAGGTTGGGCTATGGTAAAGGGCTGTGAAGTGGTGGCGGTGAGTGTGAACAAGTCGTAATGATGGCTGTTGGTTTGGTTTATTAAAATATGAGTAGGGTCTATTGGTTAATATAAAAAAATTGTATTAGATAAATTGGTAATTGAATGTGTTAAAGGGTAATAATGTCAATTCACCATGTGTAAAGACCATTGTGGTGTCTTTATTAACTTTATCAAACCTAAGGGGGTGTCATCGTTCAAAATGAGTAGGGGTAGTTTAGGTAGTGTAAAAGGGTAGCATGGGTATTAAAGGGCCATTTTTAGTGACATGATCGTCACATGCTACTTTAGAAGTCAGAAGCTCTTCTTTGGTCACTTTTCATAATACAAGGGTGGTTTTTGAACGCGAGGGGAGTTATTTACACACTTTTGAAACTAGAGATTTTCTGCATTTCACCCAAATTAGATATAATATATCGTGTATAACGTTTGTTACTTTGACTTCTCTTAAACCCATTTGCCGATAATTAGAAGGTGACTTTGAGTGTAAAAAGTCGGTAATGTCCTTATATTAAAACTTTAGGTTTTGTGCGAGTTAACCTCTTGATATGCCAATCATCATTTGATAAGTGAATAGTTGTGCACTATTAGATCTATTGTGTGTCTACCGAGTGTCATTGGTATACACAGTCAATGAAAATTAATATAGGAGGTAGTTGAGAGCAGTTTTCAAAACTAAGTGGGACCAATTTTCATAAAAGGATGTATTTCCATTGGCCGAGCATTGACATGGAATATCTTCTCGTACCAAAAGATATATAAATCCGAAGAAAAACAACTAGAGTTAGAACTTGTTTGAGATTGCTTTTGAACCGCTTAAAAACGCTTTTATTTTTTAAAATTATGATTAAATGTATTTAATAATAATTAAAAGCTTTTGATAGTTACCAATTTTAGCTTAGTAGAGCTTTGGAAAGAAGTTAAAATTAGTTACCAATTTTAGCTCAGTAGAACTTTTGAATGGAGTTAGAATTTATTTTGAAAAGTGAGTTATGAGTAGAAGTTAAATATGTTTACTAGACAATTTTGTCATTTTTTATTTTATATAAAAACAATTACACTTATTCTATTATAAAGTTGCTATTATCAAATATGATAATATTTTATTAAAGAATATATTATTGTAAAATTAATAATAGAATTATTTTAAAGAATATTGTTTCCAAATAAATTATAAAAAAATAAAATATACTTAAAAAATATTTATTATAACCACAACAAATTTTTAACACTACTACAAAAAAAAACGTTTCTTTTATTCTATAAGCAATTTCCAGACGGGTTAATATTAGACAATTAGTAGAACGTCCAAACGGGTTTGGATTAGTTCTGTTTTGCTTAAACGGTCCCATTTGATTCCATATTCCATGAAGGGGACTGGATTTGGTCCGGTTTATCTCTTAAATCGAACCAGAACTGTGTACCCAATATTAGCGGATTATTGTCTGGTAGATATGGTTTTGCCACAATCCTTCCTCCCCAATTTCGAACTCTCTGCGACATTTTTGCCCTGAGAAATAGTTATACAGTCATATTTCATATACATACTCACACTCATACGTGAATGTGTACATGTATATATGTATCTATACCTGGTTCCTGTTGATATCTCCCTGAACTTGCCATGAATTTAGCAGTGGAAGCTTCTGTTCTCAGTCGTTACAGAAGTGAATCGGTGAATATATCTACTCACTTCACAGCTTGTAATCGCCGACTAAAATTCTTACCCAAGCTTATCCCAAGAACACTGCGTTATCCCATCAGAACGAAGACGCATCACACTGTTCCCAACATTCTCAGATGTTCCTGCAATTCTGGCCCACAATCAGACAACATTGTTGTTGATAGATTTCGCTCAAAGCCGACAATCGGAGAAAATAGAGGCGAAAGAGGGAAGGAATTGGTGCCTGGTGTGAATTCGGCGAAATTTGGGGGTTTGGTTAAGGGTGGACTTGTGTTGGCAGTGTTGGCTATTGGGGTTATTCGATGTCGAAGAGTTCTTGCAGTGGAGGGGTTGGTGGTGGGTGGTGGTGGTAGTGGTGGCTATGGGGTTTTGGACCGGGCTGGGGTGTTTCTGAAGGGTGTTTGGCCTACAATTCTACAGGTTTTGCGTGTTTTAAAAGAGCATGGTTTGGTTTTAGCTGCACTTTTGTCTCTCTCTGCCTTCTTTTCGATGGCTGAGACTTCAATCACGACGCTATGGCCTTGGAAGGTATGTGGGTTTTTACTCAAAATTGAGCTTATTCTCAATCTTATTATTATTGGACATATTACTATTTGTTACAGCTTGTTGCACGTTGAACATGGTAGATGTTTAGATGGAAAAGTCACTGGAAATGTTAGCAGCAACCTCAATGAAAACATGGGCACATAAGAAACAATTGTGAATTATTAGTATATGGTGCTGCCTATGCTACCAATTCAATTTTGTAATGACACAAAAGTTTCTGGCTTGTTGGCAGTTTAATATTATGCTCCCTACCCCTTTGATTTGGCTAGTGCTTGAGTAATTCATGAACTTTGGGATTATAATGCAATTGACAAGTGGATGGATGGAAACAATTTTATTACCAATACAAACTGTGTATTGATGTTTGGCACTAATTTCCGGCAAATTCTTGCTAGACACATGAACAGTTATTTATGACCCTGATGTCACATTGAATCCCCATTCTTTGTTTAAAGGCTATACAAATGTGTAAATTGGAAAGTCCAGGTTATAAATGTGAAGCAAATGGAGTAATTTCCACGCGGCGACAAAGTCCAAGCATTTAGGTGCATTATTCCAGTACAAGTATATTAGATATATACTTATAAAAAAATAAAACTAAAATAAAATTGTTATCTATAAGATGACAATGAGTACATTGGTAGGATTTCAGTAATTTTTTTTGATAAGTAAAAATGTATTAGAAGGCGTTCAAAAGGGGAACGCGTCCCAAGAGCTGTAAAAAACCCAAAATAGAGAAAGGGGAAGACCTATGGACCCAAAGAACCCAAAAAGTCCACAATGGCGGTTTCAGTATGATCAATGATGGTCAACCAGATGATACGATGGTTGTGATTCATACGATGGTGAGTTTCTTTGGGCTAGCTATATATGAGAATGTTTCCTTTAGATGCTGAAACTACACGCACAAATAAAAAAGAAAAATAGAAAATCCTATAGTTTACGAAGCTTTGGTTCTATAGAGGTCGGAAGAAAAGATAGAACATTAATTTATAATAAAGCTATTGTTTTAACTCATCATAAGAGCAGCGAAGCTTCTAAACTTTTCATGAATTTATCACATATATAACCTGACAACAGTTTGTGCAGATAGGGCTAGCATTGCTATCGTATATGCTATGGCTATTTTATACTACCTTGTCCGTGGAGATTTCCTGCAGAAGTTATGTGCAGAATAATTGAACTTGGACTTCTAGCATTTGTTTACTGGAAGTTGAAAAGAGCTGGAAGGACTGTCTTGTGCATTCATGTGAATATATGCTTAGAGTTTTTAGTTTGGACATTACTTCCTATAAAATTAAACTGAAGAATATGAAAAATTAATGCAGTCCCTTCCATCTTAAATATAGGTGACTCCTTTACAGCCAGTTTTTCTCTATTCTGGATAAGTAAACACTTCAACAACAAAGAATTTAAGTGTACAACAAGTATCAATGAAAACAGAGCCAGAATGGGGCACTGCACTAATGGAAGTACAAGGAGGAAAAGCAAATAAAAAAAGGGAAGTCAGGCCTTTCTAATTTCTCCTGTATGGTCTCTCTTGGTGATCAAACATGAACATAAAAAGCACAAGATTTACTGCACATATTTTCCAGACATTTGCTGCTCTATACCATTTCCTAAAGACCCATCTGCCACAATTCACGTGTTCATTTTAGTTACTGCTGATTTGGGTGCTTTTTCCCTCTCCAAAATTAAATCTAAGACTTGGTGGCTTCTATGACCACCCTGTTCTTCAACATTGGTGGCTTCTATGACCACCTCTGATCTTGTCTCATGAAATAGGTATGAATGAGATTGCCCGAGAATGGCTTCGTGGATGGGCCTTCATAGACTTAAACTGGCATAAGAACACCATCCCACCCTCTCTCCCAGTTCTTGTTTTCCAGTCCTTTCCGCTCATATGCAAACATGGGGGAGAGGAAAAGGTGTGGTGATTGGATTTCTCCTTGGGTTTTTTGGGGTTGAATGGTTTTATCATTTCTGAAGAATGCTAATCTGATTTATCATATCAACATATTATAAAGGATTGGAGGAAAGACTTAGCTAACTTAGTAAGGTCTCAAATAATTAAGATCACCATTGGGTGATTAGATCCGTTTGTGGTCCTTAATAACTTTATCTTTTCGTTTTCTCTCCACCTCGAAATATGCCTTAAATACTGATTCTTCTACAGGTGCGTGAGCTGGCTGAAAAAGAACCAGAGAATGGTGTTTTCAGAATGCTCCGTAGTGACGTCACTCGTTTCCTCACAACCATTCTTATTGGCACCACGTATCCAAACTTGGATTTTTTTTCCTTCTTATTATGTCGTTATTGTTTCTGTTCTGAAAGAATAATTTCAGACATTAACCCTCACTGTAATTTTTATGCCATGCATTCAGTGTTGTCAATATCGGGGCAACTGCACTTGTCACAGAGGCAGCAACAGCAACTTTTGGTGAAGCTGGTGTTAGCGCAGCTACTGGTGTTATGACGGTATGTCCCACCATTTTTATTTAAGCAATAAAAGGTCTTTGAATTTACCAAACACATGCTTATTGCTTTTGTCTTCTTTTTTTTTCGGTTAAGTATGCTTTTGCTTATATTTTACAATATTTTATCTTTAAACTCAAGTCATATAATTATAAGTATCTCCCCTCTCTCTCTCTCTCTCTCAAAGAATCATATCATACAATTTTGAAGTTACGGATTTCCTAATTCTTGTTTAGAATTTTTTGAGTTAAAATTTGTCATGGTAATTTTTTTTTGGGGTTACCTTTCAGCTGTGGGGTAGCTAACAGTGATCTACACCATGATTGTAATCACATTTTGCCATCAATTTTCATCATTAATTCCAAATTTGGTTGAATCTAGAACGAAGTCTCAAAGCTTAATATTACGGTTGATTGACTTGTGGAATATTAAATATTTTGAGACCTTGAAAATGATATAAGACCCCTTAAAAATAAAAACCTTGGCAGAGCTACTCTCTCCTACCTCATATAGGGGATTTGAAGATAGAGTCCACTTATGATCTTGATGCAATTATTTATTTCAAAATTACTGAGTAGTCCATCGTTTAAAAGGCAAGTTTCTTCCTCTTGATTGAGACAGTAAATACAAGGTTTGATTCCTTCTTTTAGCTCCTTGGCTTACTATGGCCTTTTAGATAGTTTGTCAATACTCAATTGTGCTTATAGCATTTAGCAGTAAAAGAGATGGGATAGAAGTTTGGGTTTATTACACAACATGCAAGGGAATCCTGCAAGTGTCCATCGTAGAGATTTTTGCTGGACAAGATATAAGTTTGTTGACAAGATAACTTACAGTGTCACGTACCTTGTTTATACTTTATACTACTCGGAGCGCCCAAAATTGTGCCTATATTGCAAGGTAGAATGTTAGTGTTTGAAGAGTTATGAAATGAGTTTAAAAATAGTGGGACCATCACGAATAATTGTTTTCATATTTCAAGGTCAATGCACCTTCTTTTGGTGGGTGATCCTCTCTCGGATTTCCTGTTAGACAAATCCAAGAAACAAGTTGGGGTTTTGTCTGGCTCTTGATTTTCAGGGCAATCCTAGTCTATTCTCTCTTTGCAATTGTTTAGTCTTCATTTATGTTTTTATCTTGGTCTTGTTTGCTTAATTGTACGGTTTTGCATGCATCACAGGTATTTGGGCTTGCCCTTTTTGCTTGTTGAGGTACTAGTTTTACTTATCAGGAAAAAAAGGAGAAAAAGTAACAAAGTAAAGATTGCTATTTGATGTAAGGTCTGCAACTTGGGTCGGTTGGGTCAGGTTGAAGGCTAACCAAGGGGTTGGAGAAGTTACCGGCAGCTTAACCTAACTGTGCCTAGGGATTTGCCCATCCTACGTGTCAATTTCATCAATATTAAAATTCATAGTAAGAGCCTAAGAGGAAAATCCATCGATTTTAGGAATGGTGAGGGTTCATGATCAACTGTTATATTAGTGTTCTGTCCAATCATTGGAATTTTTCGTATTATGATCTAAATTTTCTTGACACTTGCGCATTGATGGTTAGGGACAAAGGGAAGTTCAATTAATGAAAATAAAGAAAAATACAATGCTGAAATTTATGGATGGTCCATGTGATATGTAGGGCCGTGTGTGTAAGCATGTGTTGCACACTTGACATGATGACACTCATGGTGTTCATGTTTCTGAAACTTTTCTGTATAATTCAAGAGTTTCTTTTTTTCTTTTTAAAACTGAAATTTATGCAAAGGAACACATATATTATGCTTTTCTGTTACCATGCCCCTAATAAACTTAGTACTTCCATCACCGTTGTTTCTGCATCATTCTTCCGCATGCACACACGAACTAAAACAAAGATATATCTATTTTTTGATGTAGAAAAATTTCAAGCTACACATAAGGATGCTTCCTTGTATCTAGGTTTTAGGAGTTGCTGTGTTCATCATGGAATCTGATACTCATGTCCTTGATAGAAGATTGTATTCTGCCCCACTTATCATTTTCTTTCCTCATCCTTCTTCTTGACATTTTCAAAGTTTTGTTTGGATCATCATCATTCAAAATGCCTTGCTCTTTTAGTTACGTGCTATCCTGATTTGTGATGGTGGTAGGAAGACATGCAACTGGGTAAGTTAGGTCACCTACCAGCTACCACCTCGTTCTCTTGCGATAGTTCTTTCAAACCTAAAAAATGAAAATTTCCTTATCTTAATTAATGCAAACTGATTTCAGGATGATCTTTTCAATATAAAGGCATAAAATATGGTTTGATTTTAGATGCGGATAAACAAATCCCATTCAGTTCTTGCATTTGCTAAGATTCTGTAAGAGACTTTTTGCATTAGATATTTATTGAGGACTCTCACATTTTTCCTTTTAAACCTTTCATGATTTAATCTTTTTTATATACATGTTCAGGTAAGTATGCTTCAAATCTATGGAAGTTATCTGGCCGTACATTTGTGTGTCCAGGTTAATTGAACTGAAATCCTCTATTATTGGTTTCAGGTTGTTCTTTTGCTCCTCACTGAAATTACTCCAAAAAGTATAGCTGTTCACCATGCCGCAGAGGTCGCAAGATTTGTTGTATGTTTAGAATTTCTTCATTTCCCCAAAATTGAAATTAATTTGCTACTTAATTTTATTGCCACATTATTTGTTAGTTTGTGTTTTATGCATTTCTGTTACTTCTACTTGATTCTTGCTGTTTTATTGTGTCTAATCAGATTGAATTATTACATGTTCTGACTTCTGCGCAATGGCTCTAGGTCAGGCCAGTTGCATGGCTTTCAGTGATATTGTATCCCGTTGGAAGAGTGGTTACTTTTTTGTCCATGGGGATGCTTAAAATGCTGGGTTTGAAAGGAAGTAGGTATAATTCAGTATGCTTATTGTTTGATTCCGTTTTCTCCCTTCTTCACTCATTCATTTCTTTTCATGTTTGAGCCATGTGTTATTATGCCTGAAACTCTAACTGTGGATGGAAAGTACTATAATTTTACAAAATTGAATAGTGGACTTAGATGAATTACTATATTTAATTATTTATTCATGGCTTCTCTGTGCTTTTTTTGTTTTTGTATGGCTTTATTATTCAATTGGGAATTCTGTATGTAGTGAACCATATGTTACTGAAGATGAGCTAAAGTTGATGTTGAGAGTTGCGGAGCTGAGTGGGGCTATTGAGGAGGAAGAACAGGTAAATTCATAAATTGGTGCAGCCTTTCTGGTGTGCCTCCTCCATTTGGGATTACTTGTGACATCTGATTCTGATTATTAACAATTTCACATTGCTTAGTACCGTGCACATTTTTCTTGCTAAGAAGTGAGAATCCAACATTTCATTGCAACATTGTTAGTCAGCACTGTCACTCTTGTTCCCAACAAATAATGCCACTCTTGCAGGATATGATTGAGAATGTGCTAGAGATAAAAGATACATATGTTAGGGAAGTGATGACACCTCTTGTGGATGTCGTTGCAATTAATGCCGGTGCAACTCTAACCGATTTCCACAGTTTTTGGGTAACTCATCAATATTCCAGGTGTCTAATGCTCATAAATGTTTGGTGCACATTCCAAATTCATACTGCATTCATGTTCTTACAAAATTATGATCATGATTGTAGGGTACCAGTTTTTGAGCAGAGGGTTGATAATATAGTGGGTATTGCTTATGCAATGGATCTGTTAGATTACGTTCAGAAGGTAAGCTAGTTCGTACTGTTGTTGGAGTAAGTGTTTTTTTTTTCAGTTTGATATTTAAACTTGCTTTTTATTTACTGTTTTCAATTTTTGAAGGGAGAACACCTGGGAAATTCAACTGTGGGAGTTATCGCACACAAACCTGCATATTTTGTACCTGGTAATAGTTAGCTTCAATTGCAGAGATGGTGGACCTGTTTCTTTTTACTGGGAGATGTGTACCATAGTTTATGTATTGATTTTTGCTCATTGATTTGGCTAAGAATGCCAAAGTTGAACCTTGAGCATCAATTCTTTTTCACAAGCTTGATGTGGGACTGTTATATTGATGTAGTTTTACTGCCTTAAAATTTGAAGTAATAAAATTGAGTGTTGAATGAGAATATTGATTTTGATCATATTGCAGATTCAATGTCTGTCTGGAATCTTCTAAGAGAATTCCGCATCAGGAAGGTTCACATGGCGGTTGTTCTTAATGAATATGGTGGAACTGTGGGAGTATGATCATGTCTTTGATAATTGAATCTGATTGTTTTGGATTATTATTGCTATTAGATGTTCTTAATTTGTAATAGTATATAATTCGTAAAGCACCATGGTATTTATCCTAAAGATTTTACAGTTGAATTTGCTTTAGCTTCAGGTTATACATATGAAAATGTGCCCTTTCTATTTTCAGGGTTAATTGGCTCTTTGTCTCTTTGATCACCAGTTGCGTGTTAATCTTTAGGAAGACCTGATGTCTGTGTTCTACTGATGAAACTCCTCCTTGTCATAAACTTCCATCTAAATTTGCTTTTGATTAGCCTCATTGGCACATGTTCTCTCTGGTCTCCCGCTTAATCATGATGCCTTCTTCAATTTGAACCATCTTGATCTTCTTACATGGCAACGTGATATAAGCCAACTCTCTCCAATCTTGTTATTACTTTTAATGGTGCTTTGTCTGACTTCTCCCGGATGCATTAATATTTATTTTATCCTTTCTTTTCTACAACTCCTGTATCTCCAAGTTGTCATATTATGGCACGTTCAGGACTAACCGGCGCTCTTTACCATACAGCATTTCTGCCCTCGTACTTATTTTAATAAATTACCATTTCCTTTGATAGGTATTTGCTGACCATTATATACTACTTCACTTTTCACTTTATTTTGTTCTACATCCAATCTCCCCACACTTATTGGTCAATTGGATATCTTTATAGTTTGGTCACAGTTGGATATTTCTATGCATTCAATTCAAATTAACATTCCATCATATTTGTACCTAATTTTAATAAATTACACCATTTCGTAGACTCTAATTTCGAAGTCTTGCTTATCTTATAACCTTCCAATTCTTGAGCATCTACCAAAGTACAAAGTCAAAATTTACCCCACATTAGTCTCATCAACTGAAACTATATTGTTAGCAAACATTAGGCCATTTGGTCTCCCCATTATTCACTACTTTCACTAGCATGTTATCCTAAATCTGTCCTGTTGGGGCACCATAGAAATCATGTCTTCAACATTCAGCTGTGAACTGTAATTCTTACACGACATGGGGTATCTCTTTGCCATTTGTTGTTTCATCAATATATCAAGAAAATAAACTTCATAGTTGTAGCGTATTCATTAAATTTACTACCAAACTCTTTTGAGTGAATAAATTATATTTTTCTAAACGTCAACCGTACTTTGATTTTGATTTTGATTTTTATATAGCTTGGCTCATTTTATAGAAAATTCTTGAACATTTGTTATATATCTACCTTTGTCTTGTGAATTTTGATGGCCTAATATGTTTGCGGGAATATCTTCCTTAATTTTAGAACATAACTAGTATAAAATATATGCTGTATTCACAAAGTCTGTTCTGCCTTATAAACGATTTTGTGATATAACTCCATAATATGCACCAAGTCCTCCAGTATCATACGAAAAATTGAAGCAAATATTCTAGATGATGTGTTATAGAACTGGATGTTTTTGACAAATTAATGAAAAAACAAATTAACGAGGACTAACACTAGGTAATAACCTTTTCCAATTTGTTCTCAAAATGATTTGATGGTCAGATGTATTGTTCTCATTCCATTATTGTCCCTTTGACTGGGACATGCCAGGTGGAGTGGCACTTCTTCATCATCATCATCATCATCCTTGCCTTTATCCCATATGAATGGGGTGGGCCACATGCATTCTCTTTTTCCATTTTTCCTGTTATACATTTGTACACCATGTTGTCTCTTAAATTTAAGTTTTTTAAATCGTTTTTAATTACTTCCTACGTAAGCTTGTCATTGAAGTGTAATATTTATATTGTCATTGTTTCTACTTTATCAAATTTACATGTCATATATTCCGTTTTAGTTCTACCAACTCTTAGTTCCCTTGATTCTAATGCCTTTCTCCATATTTCTAATTTTGTTGCTAATGCTTCCTAAGAGGTATCTATTAATACCATGTCATCTGCAAATAACATTATTTTCCTATTAAATCATGGTATATGCTTAGCATCCATGATACCTTGGGATGTCTAGACTTTCAATAGACTGGAGAAATTAGAAGGTAATTTCATAGCGCGTAAAACTCTCTGGCAGATATCTTATGTGAAACTTTTTTTTGGCGGAACCTAATATTCGAGTTTCACTAAAATTTCTGTTTCCTGGAAGTGGTAGTGTTGAAGTAACGTGAAGAAAGGGCTCGCTTGATGGAATTTATAGTATTTTTTAAGAGAGCACTTTAAATTTCTTTTGCTAGTATCTTATGCCAAATCTTTGGCTTGTGCATGAATCAGATAGCTACTCTGGAAGATGTTGTTGAAGAAATTGTTGGTGAAATCTTTGATGAGAATGACTCAAAGGTAATGCTTAACTCAAATCATCATGTGCTTTTGAACTTCCAAGTATGGAATCTTTATCAAGCTATATTTTTTGGTAAATGATATGCGCTAGTATTAAATAGAACACGCTTAGTATTTATGTATATATAGTTTGACATTAGCCCTCAGCTTAATGCAACCCTCAGTTTTCGGGCTTGGAACTTGCTGTATAAAAAGGAATGCTCCAATTTAAAATTATTTGTAGTTGCTGACCTCTTGATGAGAATTCACTCAAGTCCTTTCCATTGGATGATTGTTAGCAATGCATTTACTTAGACTTCTCATTCTTATCTGTTTATACTTTGTTTTTGTAACTTGTAGCTTCTTAGAGCCCTTGAACTTATTCTTACTTAGAGCTGTGCATGCAGGAGATCTACTAAAATTATTGTAGCGTATTGGTATGTTCTTGGTAGTTAGTATTATGCTTAACTATTTGTAAAATTAATCATCATTTCATTTACGAAATGAATTATACTTCTAAAACTAAAGCAAAGCCTTCTTTTTTCTTTTATGCTTTGATATGAATGTAACATACCCATTACGGACATGATTACCTTGGATATATCCATGTAGCTGACTCCAAATAGTCGAGACTAAGGCTTGTTTAGTTGAGTTAAATTGATATGAGTGTCACATTTCATATGGGCATCTAAACTTAAATTGATATGCTACCTGGAACTTCAGTATACCATTTCATAGTATACAAGCTATAGCTTTAATGATTGAAATTGTTGGGTTAAGGTTGCCAGTTGGGTATAAGTATTTTTCTTGGAACTTGAACTGTCTCAACAAATTTCCTACTTTAATCCTTAGAGCTTTTGTGGTTACAAACATTTTGAAGCAAATTTGTCTCCAAGGCAGATTAGAATGAGTCAAAAGGCTCAAAAGTAGTGACAACCATGTAAGTAAAGTAAACCATGTGAAACTTGATGCACTAGTTAACACGATGAATGGATTTCAGCAGTTAAGTGCTATTTGGTTTACATCTTGTGATGATTGTTGAAATTAGAATTCTTTTGGGTGTTTCTCTTTGATGTACTAGAAGAAACTGAAGTTATGAGATTGTACAATCTTTAAAATCCTTTGCTAAACTTTTTAGTTTGCTTCTGTTTTAATTTTATCTTGATTATCGCATTTGAAATTTAAATTACTATTGGTCGTGAAGATATGTTCAATTTTGTGATAGTCCATTTTATTTATTTTTGATATATCTAGGAGGAAATCGAGAAAAAGACTGGCTATGTTGTAATGCGAGCAGAGGGAATCTACGATGTTGATGCAAATACAGCGATTGATCAACTATCAGAAGATCTGGATATTATTTTGCCAGAGGTGTGTTTGGTTTTATTTTAGTTTACAGACAATTCTGCATTTCATTTCTTAGTTTTAAAATTATTGTTTTTATTATTTTGTGTGAGCACTATGCATTCTGTTAATGTACGCTTCGATAGATAAAGATACTGCTATCAGTTTTATGTCCTTCATACACTGTTATCTTACTGAATACTGTGAAGCATGAGGAAAATTTATCACGTGTTCAATTAGTTGGGGACTGTTTTCTTCACCCGATATTAGACTAATTCTCCTCTTGCTGCTCAACCAGCGTGGTCTGACCTGACTTTGAGGGGACATATATCTATTTACATGTGCAATATATTGTCTGCTTCTGGTAATAATATAATCAAAGAAAATGGTGCTTATCAGTCCGATTAACAGGATTTTTCTGAATAAGATGAACTTGTCCAGTAATAGCATTCCGCAATAATTCTATTGAATTTATCATTGGTGCCTTTTACTGAGAACCATCATTACCTCTGCATTGTTCAGTGATGATTACTTTTGAATTAGTTTGGTGCTTATCAGAGTTGGTATGTAACTTCAATTTGGAGAATAGTTCCTGGATTTATGTTGGTAAATATTTTACTGTAAAGCTTGAGGGAATTGTATCATATCTATTCAAGTAGCTCAGGACATATCTCTTCACACATGAAATGTTTTCTTGTGGTGATACATTCCATCAAAATAAATGGAGCTTAGATTACTTGGATTTTGCTACAGTAGATGAACTTGTCCAGTCATATTTGCTAGTAGGCCTATTGAGTATATCCTTGGTGACCTTGAGTCCTTGACTGGGAATTGCATTGTGCGGTGTAGGCAATTTTTTTCGATGGTGTATCCAGTGCAGGAAATTATGTTCATAACTTATTCACTTATTTAGTTATATCTAGTACTCCAGTAATACTGAACGGATTAGTTATATCTAAAACTCTCTCTGTGCTCATGAAATTTATCAGCAAAAAGTGAAAACTAAACAAATGAGAACTCATGCAGTGAGCTCTGTGCATCATTCCTGTCTGTGAAAATGTGGTAGCGTTGTCATCTGGCATTGTTTTTGATGCCTTTGAATATTGGATTAGTCAAGTAATCCCCCCTTCCCTCACTCCCATTTTGAAGGAAAAGTTCAGTTATTAAGAAGCCAAGTATTGGGCTCACACTACTCCAATTTTTCTAAATAATTTGACATTATTCTCTTTTGGGTTTGCATGCAGGGCCATCAATATGAGACAGTATCGGGTTTTATATGTGAAGCATTTGGATATATTCCCAGGACAGGTGAGAGTATAAAGGTAGTGCTTGAAAAGGCAAACCGCGAGGAGAACAGCGATTATAATGGAGCAGAATCTGACCATCAAGATCAGAAGGATAAACATCAGAATTTTAAGCTTGAGGTATGGCTTTAATTATGTTTTTATTATTTTATTTTTCTGGTGCAAAGAATAATTTCTGTTACATAATTAAGTAGAAGGACAAGTAGTTATGAGGTAAGCTACACACACATGTACAAAAGCAAAATTAATATAACAAGGAGGATTCATAAAATGTGACAAAAGGAACACAGCCGGCATCCTTCCTTTGCTAGAATATCTGCACAACAGTTATCCTCCACTTCTACAATCATAATGGTCCATGCTCTTGATCGGTTGTGGAATTAAGGAAAGGTTTGCTTGTGCATCCATATTAATTATAGGGTGTGTATCCAAGGTCTCTAGCCAGAGTAAGACCATAAGCAGGGAGCCTAAAGTGCAGATAGCACTAATGGCCCCATTTAGTCCTGCTGGCAAATCCTGAAATCTAACAATCCCAGAGCTTCACCCACTGGTCCAAAGATTACTTGAAATTAACTGTTGGTATAGAATTTCAGCCAACTTTTCATGAAAAAAGAAGGTGGACCACTTAACCAGGGAGCTCCTAGTTGGATGTGCAACATGTTTTCAGCTGAGGTAGAAAAATTCAATTGTTCAACTGATGCAAACTGTCGGTACTTCTGGATAGTGGGAGTTGGACCCGAAGTTCAATCAGATTTGCCAAAAAAACAAATGTGACATTATCCCCCCTCTTTAATTTTTCTCAAGTCCCTGGACAAAGACAAGATGTGAATATATTTTTGCATTACTCCATCGGAGTGAGTCATAACAAATCTTGGTCGTTGGATTTTAATTGTAAGGAAAAACAGCTTCTATCTTTGATTTCTCCTTTTTAATGGTCAAAAGACCATTTGTTTGTATTACATCAATATGTTGATGGCTATTTTAATTTAATTCATTCGTGATCATATGCTGTTCTCTGCAGATATTGGCAGGAAACTGTAGAAAGGTGAGTGCTGTCAGATTTGAATGCATAAATCAGGATTCAACAAAAGAGGCCAAAGAGGTCACTCGCTTGGTTCCTAGAATCTGGAAAAGGAAATCGAGAAATGATGAAGATTCAGACATGAGTGATGATGAGAAAGTATACCAGCAGAAGCCAAATGATGGCATCTCTCATGATCATGTAAATGCTGAACATGAAGTTGACAATGACATTATCAATCTTTAATACATTGAGAAAAAAATAAAACAATAGAGAACTGAACATAGAATATTAGGATATCTAGAGATTAAGAGCATGAGAGATGTCTACAGATGAAGAGAAGTATCAACTTCCGAAATTTCAAAATTTTGTGATGTGCTGAGTGCTGCTGCATCAGTGGACCATAAGTTTATTAATGGCGGGGTCTCGGTGGATCTAAAATCAGCGTGCTTGCACTGTGAGTTGAGTCCAAGGGAGAGGAGACCTTGAAGAGGCGGTGTAGGTGGAAAGACCATTTCAGGTTGGGAGAACAGCTTGGGAGGCTCAGGCGGTATTGTTGGGGTAACTAGTTTAGACTCCAAGAATAGTTTTAGAAGCTCTCCCCTTTCTCTCTTCTTCCTCGCGCGATGGAGTTTTCTAAATCTTTCTTGTAGGAGACCGATGGAGGAACCCACCACAGTGGACTTGCCACTTCTCCTTCCCATTGAAAATGCAGAGCTTCAACCCGTGTGAAAGCTGCAGTGCCAAGGGACTTTTATCTCCAGCTGTTATTGTGGGTAAGTTTAGTGTTTTTGTGCTTTGCGAGTCTGGAAGTGGTACATGTGCAACATATATAGGAGATGAATGTTAGGTATTTGCCATTAATTTATGAGTTTTGAGCCATCTAATTGATTCTGTATGATCTAAGAGGGGAGTATCGGCAACTACTGAACAAAGTCCAAGAAGAAAAGTTATAATGCTTAATTTATGGTAGGCTGGGCTGGTGTATGTGAAGGCGAAAGGACTTTTTAAGGGAGCAAAAAGGCGAGTGAAAAAGTCCAAATTGTGGTGGAGATTAGCATTTGGAAGGGTGTGTTCAAGGGAATAAAATGGTAGGTAATGCCGTGTTTGGCTTGTTTGGAAAGCCCTTCATGCTTTGTAGAAGATGGTAGCTATTTTGGCGGCTATTGGATAAAATATTTAGCCCTTTTTATGTGTTTCCGGTCTCCACTTCCATATTTGCCTCGAAATAGAGTTTAGGTTGGGGAGGTAAGAGTTGTGTAGAAAAGACAAGGATTATAAGGAATATTTTGGAGTGTGATTTTGCTCGACTGAACCTTCTCTTGTTTAAATTGAGGGACTTCTGAGCTGCCAAGATTTTTCTAATGCGAACAAAAAAACTCTCTTTTTTAATTGACAACGACCACATTTCCCTGCTAAAAAACTGGTACTTTTGCCGCCGATTGTGATGGGTAAACTGTACAACAGTAGACTGTAGTTATCATTTTCAATAAATTAAAAATGAGAAGTGTAATGATAATACAAAAGAAAATCATTTATATAAGTTTAATGAATTCATTATTTAAATAAGTTTGTCCGAGGTTAATATGATGTCATTTTAGTTACATAAAACACTAGTCACCGAATGGTTAAGGAGTCTCTGTCTCTTAAGACGAATAATAAACGTTAGAAGGGTTCTAAAAATTAAATAAATAAACTATTTTTCAACTATTGCATGATACTTTCCTCCTCCGCAGCCCTTTAAAAAAAGAGTCTTTATTATCATACTAAACTGATGAGAACAATAGATATAAACTTGATTTTAGTGAAGAGGCTACACAAGGTTTAATTAACTTAAAATTATCTATATTCTTTTTTATACAGTAGCATTAGTGATTATACTAGGTGAAAAGATTTAGCATTGTTGCCATATTAATTAAATTAAAAGTTGTGCGCCATACTGTTACCATATAAATGTTTATATGAAGTCAATTAAAACTTACTTTATATCTTTTCCGACCGATTAAAGAAAAAAAAAAACACAAAAAAACAAAATAAAATAAATCACCCCTACGACCCAAATGAAAAAGGGTTAAAGCAGCAAATTACGTAGATTCTAGATGACGATATGACAAAACAATGCCTGATTCAATGCTGGGAAATGAATCCAACGAGAAAAAAATGTGATGGATATATATCATGAACAATGCAAAAAGGAGAAAAAATTGGAATACAATACGGTGCTTGACGAGTCCAAATAAAAACGACTTTACCTGATTTTTGAGGAAAAAATCATATCCACCAGGAAAAATATGAACAATTGAAATTGTAATACAAGGATTCCACTGACATTATATTGCCTCTTTAAGTATCTTCTCCCACAGAAAATGTTATACCAGCAGTAACGCCCACACAAATTGTATATCAATTCTCATCACCTACTGGAAATATGACTGACTTTATTGTCCATCAATAAGTAGACTCTATTGTCCATTAGCAAGTCTCTTCTTCCTTGAAATTGCTTCAAACGCAACCCAAAAGCACAGGTTCTTACACTCATAATTTTTATAAAGAGATTTCCGGTAACGGACGGGTAAACCATAAGCTCATCCACACAAGCGATACCAAATATACATGTATAGCTTCAACACCCAAAAGAATTTCTAAACTGAATATATTTGATAGGATGACACCATCATTCATTCAAGTTAGCAGTGTGAAGCCTAAAAATATTTACAAATTGACAAGTTTAATACAAGCTTTCCAGTCAGCTGGTTCTCACACGAAACGAAAAGGTGAATCTCTGTATATATTGTAGAAGGTCATGGTTACATTGAAATTGTAATGATGTATTGAAAAGATTGCCAGAGATTATATTGTATGAAGTGTATATTTGATCAGCACTAGTTGGTGCTTCCAAAAAAAATGAAAAGAATGACTATTGTTGAGGTATACAAAACAGAAAAGTAACTCAATATTGGTGTTTTATAAAGTGTACCTCAAATCTTAGTCTAATGGTTACTGGAAAAATCGAACTCTATTAACTGGCAACATCTGAGCCAAACCATTGTGATCCTGCAAAACATATCCAAGAAAGTCTGTTTCACATTACATATATGTATTTTTTCCCCCACATATAACATCTATATTGTCCCACCAAATTACAATCTAAGCACAGACTATTGAAACATCATCAAAAGCACACCTAAACGACAAGAATAAATTTTTTTTAAAAAAAAATGACTGCAAAATGTTCATCTCTGAGTTATTTACCCTTTTCCTGACACAAAAAATATAGGTTTTTCAACCACATAAAAAATTTCAAGTTAGGCAATGAGATGATCTGATTGGACTATTTTACACTTGGTGAACTATACTGCAAAGGACCATTGAGCGCACAATTAAGACACCGTGCTAGGCCAGACATGGAGAATGATTGGACAACTCTATCAGAGGGCACATTAATCAATTCTCCAAATTTTCTTCCATAGGCTATATTTCAGAGGTTGGGGGAAGGCGACAGGTGCTCAAGTCATTCTTCAGCATGGAACCATGAAAGAGAGGCCTCACATAGCAGCATCACAACGGGTGTGGTTATCCTACTTGAGTTCATCAGGTGGTGATGTGAATCAATTTCAAGTTACAAAGGCTACCACAATAGGGATGGCAATGGGGCGGGGTGGGGCGGGGATCTCATTCCCCATCCCCATCCCCGGTCAAATTTTTCACCCCCATCCCCGCCCCCATACCTGTTTAATTTTCAACCATCCCCGCCCCACCCCCCCATCCCCGCCCCACCCCCCCACATTAGCCCCCGTCCCCGCTCTGCATAACATTTTTTAAATTCCAATTCACCTTCAACAAAATCAACACAACCATAATGTTTTTCAACCTAATAATTTAATAAAGCTTTAGCACAATTATAATAATTTAAAACATGATCAGATGTTTGATACACAATGACTATGTTTTTTCTCTATGCTGCGAGGGAATAGATATAGAGTTTCATTTTTAGAAGTAAATATATTATATATATAGTTATGTAATTTAGTAATATTTTATAACATGCAAGGGCAATTTTGTAAAAATGCACTATAAACGGGGCGGGGTTACCCTCCTCCACCCCCGCTCCATCCCCCGCCGGGGTTTCAAATAAAATCCCCATCCCCTTCCCATTTACATAAATGGGTCCCCAAACCCGCCATAAACAGGGTGGGGTGGGGCGGGGACCCGCCGGGTATGGGGATTTTGCCATCCCTAACCACAAAGATGAGATATTAGGAATAACTAGGAAAGATAGGATTACTAATCAAAAAATTAGGGAGAGACTAGGTGTGGCACTTCTTAGCGAGAAAATAAGAGAGAGTAGACTTAGGTGGTATTATTCAACGTTGACCTATAGATGCACCCACGATAAGAGGAAGACTTTCATAGAGGGTAAGAGACAGAGGTAGACCAAAACTAATATGGAATGAAGTGAGAAGAAATTATTTCAAAAAATTAAATCTAGTAGAAGATATGGCGTATGATAGAAAACAGGGGAAAAAGAGAATCCATGTGGCCAACCCCGTTTGTACGGGATAAAGGCAAGGATGATGACAATGAAACCATAAAGAACAAAAGGGTAAGGTTGATCACGGCTTGTGGTAGGGGTGGACATTCGTGTTGGCGCGTCGTGTTCGTGTCGTATAAGGGCATGGGCATCATGTTATATGGATCGACATGAACACGACACGATTATTATCCATGTCAAGAAACTTTGTCATGAACACAACATGTGACGACCTTGTGGGCGGGTGCAAGAGGCATTGGCAGGCTACCACAACGGGCGAGCTACAAGTGCACAATCTCACATTGCCTGGGTAAGGGAAAGGCTAAGTGCTTCTATGCGGTGGTGTTATCTCAAATTGGTATGAGGCCTTTTAGGGTAAAAACCAAGAGTAAAACCGTGTGGGCTCAGCCCCAAAAAGGATAAATATCATACCATGTGGTGGAGTGGGTCGTTACAAATAGTATCAGAACCTGACCTAGCCGGAAGCGGGGGGCTGATTGTGGCAACCTTGTGGGCGGGCATTGCCTAGGCAAGGGAAAGGTGAAGTGTTTATATGTGATAGTATTATCTCCAATTAGTACAAGGCCCTTTAAGGTAAAACCCAATAGCAAAACCGTGCGGGTTCGGGCCCAAAGCGGACAATATCATACCATGTGGTGGAGTGAGTCGTTACAAATAGTATCAGAGCCTGACCTAGCCAGAAGTGTGGCCAACGAGAACATTGGGCCCTAAGGGGGGGGGGGTGATTGTGATGACCTTGTAGGCGGGTGTGCCGTGGTTGAGTGCAAGAGGCACTGGCAGGCTACCACACTGGGCGAGCTACGAGTGCATAATCCCACATCACCTGGATAAGGGAAATGTGAAGTGCTTATATGTGGTGGTGTTATCTCCAATTAGTATGACGCCTTTTGGGGTAAAACTCAAGAGCAAAATCGTGCGGGCTCAGGCCCAAAGCGAACAATATCATACCATATGGTGGAGTAGGTCGTTACACAACACGATATGTGTAACCCGTTTAATAAATGGGTAAAGACCTGACATGACACATTTAATTAAAATTTTATACTATTAGGGTCAAATCAACATGAACACGACATGTTTATCCAATATGTTTGGTTAAACGAGTCATTTCTAACACAAGCACAACACGTTAAGTTACGGGTCATTTGTAACACAAATACGATATGTTTAGTTAAACGGACCTAATCACGTTATAAACGGGTTGGCAGGTCAAACACGAGCATGGCACGTATAATTAGTGTGCCAAGTTCGGGTCGACACGATGATGACCCAAACACGATTAAGCCAAATCCAAACCCACTTATCCTGGGCTGTATTTGAGTTGTATTAGCGTGTTGTGTCAAGTATTGCCACCCCTAGCTTGTGGCTGCTTAGAGAGGGGTGAGTGAAGCTATCTCAGGGCTTTAGTGTAGGCTGCAGTTGATGAGCCGAGGCAGGTGGGAGCTTGATTAGAGGGAAGATGGAGATCTTTGTGTTTTGTGGGAGGAGCTGAATGTGGAACAGGGGGTTGAGTTGGAGAAGAGTTGGCGCATTGTTATACAATGCATCGCTTTAGGTGTTATTACACCCACACGAGCATGCAGTGAGCAAGGTGAGAGGCATGCTTTAAATTGGGCTTCGGAGATTGAACAACTGGTGGCAGAGCAAGGTGATACGGACATACTGGCTTGACAAATCTTAAAAAATGACATAGATATGGTGAGGACATGGCAACAATATATATATTTTTTATATACAAATATTATATTACATACAATAAACATAAAGTTAATCTTATATTTTGTAGCTATATGAAACTTATAGAGTATATAATTACAATCACCCTTGTCAATATAAAATCCATAATAAGAATACAACATGTGAGTTTATATATGTATGTACAGATAAATTAATATGAATCCTCTCTTACACCATGCCCACTCCTCAATTATACTTTTTTCTCCATGCTTTTCTTATCCAAATGTCCAAGTTACATACTCGCACGTTTCGTGCCCCAAAAGTTAGGCCTTGTTCTGAAATAAAAGTACATTTATAAATTATAGACAGGTCTACACACACCAAATGATTGAATTTGGTGTTAGATGGAGGAGATGTATAGAGATATGTATCTCCACAGTCCGATTTTCAATTTTGGTGAACGGCTCTCCATAGGGTTTCTTCCTGAGTTTGAGGAGTTTTAGGCAACAGGTCTCTTTTCCTCATTGTTATCCATTCTGGTGACGGAGGTGCTTAGACTCTTGAGGTGAGCAATGGAGGGTTATCAGCTCAGGGGCTTTCTTGGGGTTGGCACAAAGGAGGCACCATATAATTGTTGTATGCTGATAATATCATATCTTTTGTGACGCTGATATGCATCATTCAAGATATCTTAAATGTGTGCTTTTGCTCTCTGATACTGTGAGGTGAATTTGGAAAAATGTGAGCTCATTATGGCGGGAGAAGTTAGGGGTCAAGGCACTGTCAGCCAACTCCGGGTTTTAACACGGGCTCTCTCCCAACATATATTTTAGTCTACCCATTGAATCCACGCTTGTTTAATGACAAAACAGTATGGGATGCAATTGTCGAGAGACTTTGGATGAGGTCAACAGGTTAGCAGAGGGAGTACTAATAAAAAGGGGTTAGGCTTACCCTTACGAAGAGTAGCAAGTATTCCAACGTACTCTGTCTCCATTTACAATTCTGACATCAATGCAAAAGAAGGCTTGAAGAGTTGCAGAGAGACTCCTTTGGGAGGGGCTAGAGGAGCTCACATAGTTAATTGAGGATAGGGTCTTCTTCTCAACATCAATAGATCAGAACATTTTTTTTTTCTTTTCCTTTTCACAGTTGGTACTCACACACACATGCCTCTACTGAGACTTGAACCCTTTACCTCCCTTTGAGAAGTAAGGGTTTGATACCGCTAGGCCACTAGCCCGTTGGTCAATAGATCAGAACATTATTGATGCAAATAAACAAACTAAAGGCAAATAAATTACAGATAGAGCAACAATCTACATAAAAGTAAATATGTCAATCATAGACACGACTCCAAGGAAACAATATAAAAAAACATTGGTTGCCTCAACTCCTCTAATATAATTTTCTTCTGTTTATGCAAAAGGAGAAACAGGGAATGTACAAAAGTAGTATATGCTCGTGTAAAAATTTAAGGTAAAAAAAAACCAATCATAAATGATAAAACTAGCTTCATGTAAATTAAGCTTTCCAATTTTACCTGAAAATGATCAGCTCTTTCTACTGCAGGCCAAAAAGCTTACTCCTTCAGTCATTGTCATATAGTTCCGGAATAGGACTTCAAGAATTTGGTGTACTTCCATTCTAATGAAATTCTGCAAAAGAGAACAAAGAAGAAAAGGAAAAAAAGAAAAAGAAAAAGAAAAAGAAAAAGAAAGGCCATCAGATTTTAAACACTGTTTTCTTACAAGGACCTTTGAAGAAAACAAAAATAGCATACTGAAATCCATATGAAATGAAGAAAAGAAAACACACCCTCTGCTCCACCGTCTATTGGATGATTGAGCTGCAAACTGCAAAGTGATTACAGCTCAAAATGTCATTTGTAGGTGGTCAAAAATGTCATCCTGTCACTGGACCAGCTGTCTGTCTTCCGGGAGACTAACTCCATAATTTAGGGCCTTGATTCATAAGGAAAACCTCAATTTGATGAAACATCCTTCAGAATTCTCAATTTATCAGCAATCTGAGTTGTATCAACTGCTTCGTCTACTTTGCGAAGTTCTCTTGCCAATACTACGTATGTGTGGAAATTAAGGGTGCAGTTCTTAGATTGCATAATGTGAAAAAGCTTCATGCATACATCTAATTCTCCCTCCTTGAGTAACCCATCAATCAAGATTGTCCAGACAATCTCATCAGTATTCCATTGCTTCTCAAGCATCTCTTTAAAGAAAGCTTGAGCTTCTATGACTCTTCTTGCTTTGCAAAGAGCACAAATAAGTGCTCTACAAATTGATAAACGAGGCTCAAAACCTCTAACAACCATTGAGTTATAGATTTCCAAAGCAGGGTCCACTCTCAGATTCTTACAATAAGCACCTAAGAGGGAGTTATAGATCTCTTCATTAGGACACAAGCCTTTCTCCTCCATATATTTAAGCAACTGTTCTGCCTCAAAAGTTTTTCCTTTGCTACATAGACCAGCAACTAAAATACAGTAGGTATCAATGGTAGGTTCACAGCCACTCTCTGACAGTCTACCTAAGAGATCACATAATATTTCAAAACTGACATCCTTCTCATCTACACTGCAACTATACGCTGCTTCATGCTGGACTGCGGCCTTTTCTGCAAGCAACTGACATTCTTTTTGCAATCCCTTCACCAACACATTGTATGTTCGGTAGTTGGGTTGGCAGCCGGCATCAACCATCCGCCGAAGAACCAAAAATGCATGATCTAACCTACCCAGCATTACAAATCCATCAATTAATGAGGTAAAGGTAACCTGATCAGGAGCCAATCCTTTCCTCTCCATTTCTTTGAGCAACCTCTCTGCGTCATCGGCCTGGCCTTCTAGACATAACCCATACATGAGCGAACTATAAGTGTACAAATTTGGCAAGCAATTTCCTTTTTCCATTTCATGGAAAATCTTGAATGCAAGATGTGTCCCACCATTCCTACAAAGCCCATCAATCAAAGTAGTGTAGGTGATAACGTTTCGTAGCAACCCTTTTACTGCCATCTTATTACATAGTTCCTCTGCTTCAGAAAACCTATTCCCTTTGGACAGACAATTTATAATGGCATTGTAAGCTTCAATGCTTGGAGTGCAGCCATTTTCCTCCATCCTCTCAATTAATGACAACGCAACATCTACTTTCCCTTCCTTACATTGACAATCAATCAAAGTGGTATAGTTGACCTGATTTGGACTCAAGCCTCGCTCTATCATTTCATGGAAAAGATTAGAAGCCATATCGAACTTTCCTCCTTTGCAAAACCCTGAAACAAGTTCTGCATAAGTCCATTGATCTGGTTCGCATTTATTCTCCTTCATCAAATCCAATAATCTCAGAGCATTGTTCAGATTCCCCTCCTTTAGGTATCCATTAATGAGCGTGTTATATGTTACCACTGTTACAGGAGGACCAACCGTCAGCATTTTGTTGAAAAGAACCATCGCCTTGTCAATACTTTTAGCTGTACACAATGCATTTATGATTTCATTGTAGGTTTCAGTATTTGGCAAGCTACCATGTCCCTCCATCCAATAAAAAATCTTGAGAGCGACACTGAATCTTCCTACTGCACACAATTCATTAATCAAGGCATTGTATGTGACTATACTCGGAACTAGACCATCCCTCAACATCTTGTGGTACAATCCGATTGCTACTTCAAGTTTACCTGCTCGGGACAACCCACTGATAAGAGCAGTGTATGTCTGCACACTTGGCTGACAACCCCTCTTCCTCATGCTGGCAAAAAGATCAATAGCCTCTTTCACACGCCCAATCATGCATAAAGTATTAATTGGGACAGTATAAGTATACACAGTAGGTTCAATGCATTTTTCAATCATTTCTTCGAGCATATCCAATGCATCATCAACCATCCCCTCATTGCAAAGCCCATTTATGAGAGTTGAATAGGTCACCGAATTTGGATCACAACCTTGCTTCAACATCCTATCAAAAACCCCAAACGCTGCCTTTAAATTGCGGTTTCTACAATGCCCAAGAATCAAAGATGTATAAGTAAACACATCTGGGTTCAAATCGTACTCAAAGATCCGACTTAAAATCAATTCAGCCTCTTGAACCTTTCCTTTTTTACACAATATATTAATCATTGTATTGAAAGTCAGTAGACTGGGTTTGATCCCACTATTGAACATTTGCTTATACACATTTTGAGCAACCCCAACCAGCCCAAACTTACCCAATTGAATCAACAGCGTATTACAGCTATATAAACTAAATCCAAAACCTTTTCCACTGACTTCATTCAAATAATTGATAACCTGGATAATATCTTCCTCGTTTTTACAAGCTTTAATCATCAAAATCCTAACATGATCAGCAGGAACAAAGTGCCTATCCCGGATGAGCCTATTTAACATTGAAATGTAACCGTTCACGTTGTGTTTGTAGAAAGGTCTCTTAGAGACCCAATAAAAGAATTGCAAAACCGTTTCGGTGTTCCTATGGGTGTCGATAATTATTGCGACGTGATGGGGTTTGAGTTTGGCGCTCAAACGCTCGAGTTCGGAGCTTCGTTGCCATTGGAGCTCATGTAGTATGCCAGAGACCTTGGAGACTAATTTGGGAAGGCGTTCATGGGAGGGCGATAACGGAAATTCTGATGCAATGTTGGGTTTTGAAGAAAATTTACGAAAACAATGAGAACAAAATCGAGGACAGTGCTTGTGGAGATTAATGAGAGATGGGGTTTTAAGGGGATTTACCATTTCCAGAGATGAGACTTCATGAGTTGTTGCAGAGACTGGTGGCCATTCAGGAGGTTGTTCTGCTTCTGGGGTTTACAGATCCGGAGATGGGTAAAGCTTTGATTGTTGGGTTTGATAGACGTGGTCGTTGGAAGACCATAGCTCAGCGAGCGAAAAGAAAAGAGAGAGAGGGGGTGACAATGGTGTAGCCAAACAGTCTGTTTAGACTGTTGACGCTAGGGTTGATTTGAATTTTCTTACGCTAAGTTCGAGTGAAATTAGAAAATACTGAGAAAGACCATTGATTTTTTATTTTTTATCCTTAGCAAATAAAGGATATATATATATATATATATATATATATATATATATATATATATATATATATATATATATATACTTTTTTTTAAGATAATGTACTTTCTCTTATTTTACTTTCTCTCTTTTCTTTTAATTTTCTTTTCATCTTTCCCATCTTAGTCTAATAACAAAATATATATATATTTTTCTTTTTTCTTTTTAATTTTCTTCTCTACCATTTCTTACATTTCAAAAACAATATTAATGTCTCTCATAATATTAAAAGAAATAAGATTAATATTAGTATTTCATTTTTCAACAAATAAATTTCACTTTTAATTTAAATAATATTGTCCTTAATTTTATAAATAAGATTAAAATGCTAAAGAAATTAAAAAAACTTTTATCCTTTCATTCGACAAAAACATGTACTTCGAATATCACTAGTGAAACATGATGGTTCAAATCCCATGGCAAAAATAATGAATGTGTTTAAAATAGTTACAAATATTAATGTCATATAATTGGTATTTTGATTTTTTAATTTACTACCTTAGGAATATGATTTGGAATATATCATTCATATTTTTAAAATAAGAGAGTTGGTGTTAAATCGAGACCTTTGGAATATATACGGTTAATTCGAGGAACATGACATCTTAGTTTTGGTGATTTGCCAGAATTTGTAGTTTTATGTTATTGTAATGGTGCATATATATATATATATATATATATATATATATATATATATGACTAAAAAGTCACCGTGGAATTTTGGAACATGGCTTCAAATTTCCAACCAGTGGAAAAAAACGTATCTAATTATTGTTTAAATATGAAGAATAGTCAGCAGAGTTGTGCTGATAAATGGGAGATAGTATATTGACCAAGAATAGTTCTAATTTTTAGTATTTAATCATTTTGTTCTTCAAATCTAAAATTACATTGATTATGATCAGTCAACAAGTCAAGTCAGCTGTTAATTGTTAGCCACCATTTTTTATTTCATATATATATATATATAATTATATATACACATATTTCTACGTTTAATTTATATCTATATCATTTTTTTTATCTATTCATTTAGCGGTAAATACTAATCTTAATTTAGAATATTGTTTGCTTTCATATTATATTATTCATAAAAAGATAAAACACGTGATAATATTATTCGTCATAGATAATTTTAAAGTTTAAACTGTTAGAAAAAGTAACTCGGGTAATTATTTGTATTGTATAATAAGTTTGATCATTGAAAAACTGTTTATTTTAAAAGAGGAAGGAAAAAAAAAAAACAAAAAAAAAAAGAGGATAATTTTGCAAATTATGGATCGCATACTTGTCATTTTCCATAGTTAATGCTTTGCATTAAGTAAATTTTATTGTATTTAAGCGTCTTTTTAATACTTGAACATTTAAGTCATTAGACAGTTGAAATGGAGCACTTGTAATCGATGTGCTTGGTACCTTTCTAAAAGCTTCGGTTGCTGCTATGTCGGAATATTAACACTTAACATATACACATTCAACACACTTGTGGCCATCTACGGAATTTATGGCCTAAGTTCATTGAGACCGTATGTGTTCGGTGGTGTATTATGAAGTGGTGTAAACAGGGTCGACCCTGGACCTAGGCAGGGCCTCCAATTTAGAGGGCCTCATATTTTGGCCCAGGACCAGCCCTATTAACTTGTTAAAGACATGGCAGGAAAAAAATAGACTCAGGACCGGCCTTGTTAGGATATTGAAAAAATATAAATAGACCTTTATTATCATACCAATTTCATTCACAGACAGTTCATTCATCATACCCTTGTCTATCTTGTACAGCAGTACAGGAGTTCAGACTTCAAAGTGATATGATATAGTATTATTTTTAAGCACCCAAAGCAAATCAGACATTCTCTCTTTTGTTTTCTAGCTCAAAGCAAATGATACTCAACAAAAATTATAAATATTTATTGAATAAATAAAATATCATTTTCTATGCACATAATGCACGATATCAATTATACTCAATTTTTTACTACCAACATACTACTCAAATATATCACAGTGCTTTTTCGAAACGGGTCAATGCTTCCACCTCAAGCCACTCAATTTCAACATTGACTAAATAATTTCTGAAAGTGAAATGGTGGATCGATCAAGGAGCCATTAATCGCATTTTGGAATGAGAGAGACACAATTAGATTGCAATTATAACGCAAAGGTCATTAAATCATTAATCGGCTCATCTGAAATGTTTTTGAAACACTGACATAACATCCATGAGCAACAATCATCTAGTATGTTCTTGAAATTTTTTGGTCCAATTTCCTTTGAATCTTCGATTAAAGCCCTTTAACGATTTTGTCTATTCATTTCATTTTATTTGACTATTTGAGTGTTCAATTTTGATATGTTTTTTGTAATATTGCGTGATTTGAGCTATTTTGAATTTAAATTCCTTGTCATGTCTTGAAGTATTTTGATTGAAAAATTGTTTCAATTTGAGCTATTTTAATTTAATTTTCTTTTCATTGAGTCATTCCTGTCTTATTGAGGTCTTGCCATTCATCATCAAAATTTAATTTAATGAATGAAATCATATAATTGAGAATCAAAATGAAGAAAATATGAATGAACATAGAGATTTAATAAATTGAATGAAGATTGTAAAAATGATAATCAAAATGAAGAAAATATAAATAAACATGAAGATTCGGTAAATGAAGAACATATAAATGAAAATGGTAATATTCCTTTGAACATTAATGATTCAAGAAATTGAAAAAATATTAATAACAACTTGATAGATTTATTAATTGAAAGAGGTTCTCGGATAAATGTTAAACTTGAAGATTTTCTTAATGATTCAAAAAATAGACATTTATCTTCTTCATATTACATTCGACGTTTATCAAACTGAATTATTGATGGGACATAATTATTTTCTTAATTATTGAAGTATTAGAGTTTATAAAAAAGTTAGGTTATTAGTTTTTAAATGTTTTGATTGCATATACATTATTATTGTTACAATTGCATATGCCAAGAATATTTTTTTAAAATTGAAGTTTTAAAATTGAAGTTAATCAAATCTTACCTACGTTCAACGATGACATAAGAGATTAAATGAATTGGTTATGATATTTATAATTTATTGAAAGAGATATGTTGAGAAACTTGATTAGATCACTTGATTTGATACTTTTATAACCCAAAATGCAAAACGATGGCATTTATTTTAATAAAAATTTCGTACTCTTATAAATTTTTTGAATTTTTTGAGCTTTTTAAAATTTATGTATAAAGGGCCTTGTATTTAAAATGGGTCCCCTCTCAACATTTTGTTAATCTCAGACCGGCCCTGTGTAAGAGACCCCAAACATGAGTGAGCACACACTTGTGCTATAAATAGTAGCAGAAAAGGAGCTGAACGCTTGACATAGTTCTAATATAAGCAGTTTCTGCTAGTAAAATTACATCACTATTTGATCAAATCCACAAGTAGAGAACCTCAATGACACCAAGAAGCTTTTAGTAATGTTACATTAAAAAGCAGCACACAACTTGGATTGTTTTCATTTTCCAGGCACAAAGTTAGTGGCATAGGCCCATGCGTTGTTGGCCACTGGATCAGCAATATGGTCATACAGGTTCTCGATTGGGCCCTTCCCGGTGACGATGGCCTGCACAAAGAACCCGAACATCGAAAACATGGCCAACCGTCCATTCTTGATCTCCTTCACCTTCAGTTCTGCAAATGCCTCTGGATCATCAGCCAGTCCAAGTGGGTCAAACGCCCCTCCTGGGTAGATTTTGTCTAGTCCTTCGCCGAGTGGGCCTCCACCAACCCGGTAGCCTTCAACGAAGCCCATGAGCACAACTTGGCAGGCCCAGATTGCCAAGATGCTCTGGGCGTGGATGAGATTCGGGTTGCCTAGGTAATCAAGGCCTCCCTCGGAAAAGATTTGGGCCCCGGCTTTGAACCAAACCGACTCACCGAACTTGACACCGTTCTTTGCGAGGATTTCGGGGAAGACACAGCCCAATGCACCAAGCATGGCCCATCTGCAGTGGATTACTTCAAGCTCACGGTTCTTGGCGAATGTCTCTGGGTCTGCGGAAAGCCCAGCAGTGTCCCACCCATAGTCACCGGGAAATTCACCGGTCAGGTATGACGGTGTTTGCTCCGAGAATGGGCCCAAGTACTTGGGGCGGTCCGGCCCATACCTATTTTATCAGGTGCAGATTGTACAAGTACAAGTAACTCAAAACAAGAACATTTAAGAAAGGAAAGAGCATGAGGTTGTATTTGTGAGTCAATTTATGTAATTGGTGACCTCTTTACTATATTAATGCCTCATTTATCTCACAAAATGAAATAAGTAAATTTTAATAACATTCGTATCAATTAATTTTATTATAATCATCAACATCCTTGTCTTAATATCAATTGAACAAATTAAACTTACCATATGCTTTGTGGAGCGCTTTTGACTGTCCGTCGCATGGTGATTCGGCCACCATTGAAGCTGCCAACCTTCCGGATGAGCTCATTTTGAGGCTTCAAAGCGGTCTGGCCGGCGAATGCTGACCGTTGGATTGCAGATGTTGCCATGATCTTGTTAAGATTGATGTGTTCTTTGTACTAGTGGGGTTGGTGGAGGATGTTGTGAAGAAGGGTGTGGAAGTGATGAGGAGGGTGAGAACTGAGAAGGTGGGGTTATAAATGGAATTGGGAAGACATTGTGGATTAGGATATCATCTACACGTCAGCACCATCTGATTGGTTCATGATTTGGATTCCGATTTCCATTTAGATTTTTACTGGAGGCGGAGAGAGGCTCTGCTTCGGCCATGTGGCATTAAAATATCTTGTGGTTGAGATGTTTTAGATACTCTATGCCACAAAATTGTAGTGCACATTTGGGCTTTTGGGCTGGACGCTTTCATGAGCACATGTCAGACCTATTTAGCTTTAACCCTTTTCACCAAATATGGGTGTCTTAAATTTCCTATTCACGGCGGGCAAAGGGATATATATATATATATATATATATATATATATATATGAGCACGTAATTGGGTATGCCATATTACCCAACATAGAAGTTTTACCATAGCCATCCGTAGTCTAGCCTTAAGTCGAATTTTAAGTGTTGTTTGTGTGTGTGTGTGTGTGTGTGAGTGAGAGAGAGAGAGAGATCAGCGGCTTCGTTTGTATGCACAGGAAAGAAAAGAAAGGAAAAGATTATGAGAAAAAAGAAAAAAAAAAAATTTGATAGATATAAATAATATTCATGTTTGGATGGGTAGAGAGAAAAGAAAAGATTGGATAATATTCTTATTTGGATAGATATGAAAAAAAAAAGGGATGAACAATTTACCTTTTTTTCCTTTATTTTTTTTTTTGAGATAATTTAACTGACATCTCTCAAAAATTAGCCAAATATCATGCTCAAATATCTTTTGAAAATAACTATCACTTATGTCAAGAAAAGACATGTTTACCCTTCATTTATCTAATATTCTAAAATATTAGATAAAGTAAATGACTTCTATACCCCTACACACTATTTCTCTCTCCTCTATCTATATATGAAGGGACGACGCTACTGTCTGTGTCTCTCCTCAAGCCATCGCCGTTGAAATGTTACGGAAGAGTTTATGAATGATTTCATTTCTCTCTGCTCCATATGTTACCTCTATTTTAACTATCTATTTTTGGCAGACAAATCAAAGTGTGGATTCAATGGCAAACCCTTCTGATTGTGTTTTCGGTCTCCTGGGAAGGGTTGAGGAGATTCCTCACGCTGCTACCTCTACTGCGTCTCCCAAAAGACATGGCCGCAGCCACAAAAAAGCTCACCGTAGACATCGAATGCGCCAGCAGGAAGTTTCTTCAGATTCTGAACATGCTTAGGCTTATAAATCGACTGATTATGGCGAATTTTTAGTTTGACATTTGGGAGGTGGAGAACTATCTTTAAGGATTTGTATACTTCCAGCCATGCCCACCACCACCACTGGTCAACGGCGATGGCATGATTTGCATCTGCAATGGCTTGATTTATGTTGGCGATGACTTGATTTGTATGATTTTGGGGCTGATTTGTGTTGACGAAATTGCATGGACACCGCGAACCCAGTATCAAAATAAATCTACACCTAATCTCCTCTCTCGACCCAATCGGAATCGTCCCCCCTCTCTCTCTCATAGAACCAGTCTCTTAGCCGTGAACCAAGCCGACACGTCGTGTGGCATCAATGCTGCCGCCGAGCAAGAATGTCGGTGTGGTTGTTTCACTGGTGGTGGTGGTTGTAGGGGTGGGAATGGAGTCTGCTGAAAAAATAGATCCAACATGGATATGAGACGTGACCACAAACAAATATGGAAGAATTTTCTTTCACTTTGGACTAATCTGTGCTCTTGCTCGTCTAGTCATACAGTGGTCGTTGTGGGTTTGGAGATGGAAGCGGTGGTTCAGGGTGAGGATGAAAAAAATGAGAAAGTAAAATTAAATATAAATATAAAATGACAGAAATAGACTTCAATTCACATTCTAAACCATAAAAAGCAAGGGTTTTGTTGTCCAAAAAATATGAGGACCAGCCTGTGTGTGTATATATATATCTATGAAATGATGGAATATATGAATGGGTGATTGATCATAGAACCAAATACTTGTAAAATTTTTCTTATTTTGCTCTTCCTCTTTTTAAATTTTATTAATTTCTTTAAAAAAATAAAATTTTCTTACTTAAAATTTTATTAATTTCCTTAAAAAATATATATGAATGGATGATTTTTCTTATTTTATTTTTCTATTTTAGTTTTTAAAATTTTTCTTATTTTTCACTTCTCTTTTTAAATTTCATTAATTCCCTTAAAAAAATAAAATTTTCTTACTTCAAATTTCATTAATTTTCTTAAAAAAATATAGAACCGAACAAATTGTATGATGTTGATCACTTACTTTATTTATTCTTGTATATGGAAAAGGAAGGGTAAACATGTCATTTGAATAGTCAAACTAAAGTCAAATGAGGGTACAAATGTAATTTTAATCATTAAAGAAACAATTTAGTGAGTCAAACTAAAGTCAAAGGGTAAGAATGTCTTTTTACATGTAAAAGGTGATCTGACATACCTGTCAATTAACTTTTGGGGTGTGAGTGAAAAACGGAGCAAATGTTTATAATGTGAGTGATAGTTATTTTGGAAAAATATTTGAAACTGATATTTGGCCAAACTTAAGGGGTGTAGTGAAACTCCGGACCATGACCCCTTGAAGCTAGCGCTTCGCCGACCGAAGATGAACTTCGAAAAGGTATTTTTCGACAACTCCTCTATGTTCTCCGGCAAACCTTCATTTTTCCAGGCGACCTCTCAATCTTCGTCTTTTGTTTTCTGGAGCAAATTTGAGCTCAATCATGTCTAATTTTCTTCAATCTAGTTGGAATTCTTCAATTTTCACCTACTCTTGCTGTTCTTATACTATTTTTTGACGATCGAAGAGATTGTATGATTTATGTTAGTTGGTCTGGTCTCTCTATAAATTTTAGCTGTGAGGTGCTCTTAGCGTTTGTATAGTTTCCGGCCTTTCATACACCGTCTTGGCCTTTACCTGTTGTTCAAGCTTTGCCCCTTCTCTTTGTGTCTATGGTGTTTCTCTGCTGTTCAAGGTTGCTTTTGGTAATTTGCTTCCTTTTTTTCCAAATCCCTCCAAATCTTGTCAATTTTGGAGTGATTTGGTTTCACTGTATGAGAGGGATTTGGAGGGATAGGTTATCCCTCCAAATCCTTCCCAATCATTTCTTTTATTTTTTATTCCCTCCATCCAAACACACCTATCCCTATCATTCCCTTTCTTTTCTCTCCAAATCCCTCAATCCAAACTAGCCCTAAGAGCACATTTGAATAGAGATTGCTAAAGCTACAAATATATTACAATTAATGTAAATAATAAATAAATAAATAAGAGAGGTAGCATCACAAATTTTCCTGCTCATGTTATAGTATTGTACAGGCATGAGCAACAATGAAAATAGTAGCCTCCAATGAACATACATATATGCTACATACAACAATCAGACTTATTACAAAGGCAGATCGGGACAGTTTGATCCGTAGGGCCGCACCCCCGTGTGAGCATTTGAGCAATGAGAGGACTCGACCTTCACCACACTATATCCACAGTAAATGCTAGGTAGCCAATCAGCGCAAATTCTGCGCTGTACCTGTGTTGAAATAATATGAACAAGAGAAGAACAGGAACATAGAAAATGATAAGCCCATGTAAACAAAATGGGGTGAAGGTGTTGTCGCTAGGAAAGCACCCATGCCTGAACGAACTGATCCAATAGACAATTCACTGAGGAAGACATAAAGGAATTCCAAGGCGAGGTCGAGACCCCAAGAAAGCACTGCAATGAGGAAACAGAAAGCCCATTGCACCCAGTCCAACCTCGCATAACCAACCATAGGTGCCACAAACTCCACAATTACCCCGTGCACGACCATCACAGCCACTAGAGTGATCATAAACCAATGGTGTCGGATGACCACCAGAAACACTTCCTTCTTTTTCAGTTCCATGGCATTGAACAGATTGAAGACCTGGCAGAGGGTGAAGCTGTTGAAAATCATGGATTCCATCACCTTCTTGTTCATGCCACGAATGGATTGTCCCTCAAACTGAAAGATCAGCAAGACTGAAGCCTGGTACAAGACTTGGATTATGAAGTTTCTCCACATGACACCAATCATCACTGATTCGGTTCTTTTAGGTTGTGGTTGTTCCGTTATTAGTACCCGAGCTGGAAGCTCCATTACCATCATGGTGCCACCCAAAAAGAACACAATGAAATTCACCCACACCAATTGAATTGCTGATATAGGAGATTCTCCCCAACATATTGTGGCAATGGTAGTTATCAGTAACCCAGACATACAAGCAGTGAGCTGGACTTGAATAAATATCTGAATGTTACAGTAAACACATCTACCGTATTTTAAGAGTTCAGTTAATGAGCGCAAACCTCTGCCTGAAGTAATAACAATATCAGAACTCTCTGTGGCCATTTCGGTGCTCAGACTTTTCTCAGTGATCCCTATATCAGCTTCTTTTAGAGCTGCAGTGTCGCCTGTTGTCAACCCTCCATAGAAAGCAACTACATGGCCTTTTTTTTTCAAGCGCTGCACCATGCGAAGCTTCTCATCAGGTCCGGATCTGCCCATGACTGTAATCTCATCAATCTTTTTCATTCTATTGTCATCGTTGAGCTGCCGGAATTCTTCACCTTCAAGTGCAACATCATTAGAATCAGGCTTAAATATTCCAAGCTCACCAGCTAAGGCTTTTGCCTTTTGTAGCTCATCACCTGACACCAATTTGATGCTCACTCCCTTACTTCTAAGGTCAGCCAAGGCTAATTTAATCTCTTCTCGACATGGCTTTAATCCTACCAGTGCCAACAAGATCAGCCCATCTTCTCTAATTTCTTGAACCTCCGTTTTTTCCATTTTTTTATAAGCAAATGCAATGGGTATAAGACCATTGTCCTCCATATTCTTAACTACTTGCTCAAACTTGCTTTTCTGATTTTCCAGGGCATGGGTTTTCCCTCCACAATCAAAGTAGCACGAGCACATCCCTAGTATAGTCTTTGCAGATCCTTTCCAATGCAAGTGCATATTCTCATCATCATTTTTCTGCATCAGGACCCCACTGCCTTTCCTATCGCAGCTCAATCTCCTGGAATCAATGATGGAGAAACTTTCTTCTGAAAACTCAACACTCGTACCCCACTTTGACTGCACCCATGAATTCAGCAAACCATCTTCTGGGCTCTTCAGATTCTCGGGCATGAGAACTGATATTCTTTGTTGCAGAACTTCAAGAACAACTTGGGATGTACCCAAGTCATCTCCATGATTATATTCCTTTTCACCAATAAAGAACTTGTTAACCCCCTCCACCTCCATCTGGTTACATGTGAGTCCACCAGAAACGTCAATGCAGATGACTGTGGTGAAGCCCATGGTGCCAAAAGCTGATAAATTTTGAGGATTGGCATTAAGTTCATTAACACACTCTACCTTCTCATTCCAGTAACCAAGGGAAACAGTAATGACCAGAGGCATCCCATGCTGAAATCCTAGCACCACTACAGTAAGTGAAGCTAAAACAGAAACCAACCCTCGGGGTTTCAGAAGATTTCTCTCAAAAATCTTCATCAACTCCTCCACTGGCAGTTTACCCTTCATTTCTGGGATTCTATTATCATCACCATCATGTTTTTTACTCAAGAAACGTAGAAACAACACAAGAGTAATCAGTATAGATATACAGAGTGCAATTTTATCTGCATAATTGTTTGGCTTTTCAATCCGACTCTGTAAAAGGTTTGGCTGATTTGGATTATGATTCACCGTGCTCATTACCTTTCCCATTGACGTATTGGTACCAACAGATGTAACAATCATGCGTCCATTCCCCTTGATAACCTGTTTAAGAGGAGTGGATGAATAATCTTCTTACTGGTTTTAATTTCTTGCCCATCTACTAAAATCGGAGGAATTATCCAATTGGAACTTTCATTAATGCATCTTTCACCTTCAATCTCCCCAAGGTTTCCACATTTTATTTTTTGCACTTAAGTTACCTATATGATTTTCATTTAATTTCTTAAACCGAACATTTCACCTTTCTCAAATTTTTATCATCTTACAGTTATTTCTTCATCTTTCACTAAAACTCTTAAATTAGATCCTGGCTCTTGATGCACTTTTAACACTATGAAAATTACAACCTTTCTTCCCTTTATTTTAACAAATTTAGACATACTTTTCTTCACATCCTTGGTACCAAATCAGAATAAAAATTGTCATATGCTCTATACTTAATTTCTCTCACTAACTTCCTTATTTGAATATTTGTATCTTTCAAAACGTTCTTCATTTTTATTAACCCTCCAAGAACCTCTTTTAATATTTTTTTAGTACATTCTGATCATCCTACTTCATATTATATTAGCTCCATCATCTAAATTATTATTTTTTAGTTACATTCTAAATTTCATGTTACTTCTTTAAACAATCTCATTCTTATATAATTATATTTTCTTTCCTTTCAAATTCCACTATCTAGTTTCTGGGTTTAAAATCTTCTTTTTGTTTTCTTGATTTAATATATATGCCTAAAACTGTCAACCTACGTTGCTATGATGAGCTCGCTCTCTTGGAATAACCTTTCAGTCCTTTCACATTAGTCAATCTACTCTTGTGGTTAGAAAAATTAAAAAATCAATCTGACTCAAGCTTGATCCACTTCTAAAGCTACCAAATTTCCATCTCTCTTCTAGTCGATCTACTCTTGTCAAAATCATGCTTTAATATGTTTGTCTGGTCTAACTTGATGCATAAATCCTAAAGTTGACCCCAAGGTTTCAATCCAAGGGCATTTGGGAAATTTTAATCAGGTTTTAATCTTAAACTCAAAGAATATCCAGAACAAAAGGTAAAGCTCAATTGAATCTTGGCTCATGGCGATGGAACTTAAATAACTCAAAGCATTTGAAGAAAAAGTCCTATAAGCATTTGGTGAGAGCTAGATTCAATGTAAAGTAATTTGTGATGCATTTTGATGAAAGCTCAATCCTAAGACTAAAGAGACTCTAGGACCTAATAATTGAATTGAAATATATCACTTTAAAGGTCTCTAGGATCATTGACTTAGCCCATGAACATTGATCACTCATATTATAAGGACATAAAAGTCATTTGGCCAATTGAAAGCTACTTTAGACTTAAAGGAAGTCAAGTTCAAAACTTTAAAGCATTTCAACGCCAGAGTGGTTCACTTAGACACCTTAATGACCTCAAATAGACTTGCCAATCTGGAAAATACAACTTGGACGTCTAACTGGATATTCCAGTAGCCAAGCTGAAATTTTGCAAAAGACACTTAGACGCCTAAATATACATTCCAGTAGCGGAGCCAAAATTCTGAAAAGACAACTTAGACACCCAAGTGGCACACTTAGAAGCCTAACTTGTCAGTTGAGTTGCTGAGCGATTTTTCAGAAAAGGACACTTAAGACAACTATGTGGTCACAATTAGACGCCTTAATGGCATTTCCAGTGAACTGCACAAAATGTGGACAAGAACACTTAGACGCCTAATTGTTCCACTTTGGCGCCTAAATGTACCATGCGATTTAAATTTACTTTTTCAAATTCCCTCCACATGTGCTTTAAAGGGCCAAACAGTCATATTTCTTAAAATGACTATATACAAGCTCCCTTGGCTTTTTGTGAGGACCGGGTTTTTTTTTTTCCATTTTTTCTATTTTATTTTTCAGTTCATTTTGGTGTTCGGTCTGTGTGGGCCCGGGTCGGGTCAATTACTCGGGAATTTTTAAGACACTTTTCATTTATTCCATTAATGTCGCATTTATCATTCGCGGCATTTGCGAGGCATTCCATACACGTGTCCGTATTTATTTTTAGCATTGGGGTTTTAATGCATTTGGCGTAAGTTGGTGGGATGCATTTGTGGTGGAGGTTGCGTAGGAGAGTTGTGTCTCTGTCTGTGTGGGGATGGTTTCCAAACACCTCACTTTCTCTCTCTTTCATTTTATCTCTCTCTCTTCTCTCTTCTCTCTCCTCCATCTCCATTAGGGCTGCAACTCAAGCGGGCCCAACCCGAATTAAACCGAGCCCAGCCCAAAATTTTCTGGGCTTGGGCAGTGTTTTTCTATTCTCGGTTTGGGCCTGGGCTAGATATTTTGAGCCCGAATTAAATTCGGTCTGGGCTTGGGTTGATATTATATGAAGCTCAGCCCGATCCCGGAAAAGACATATTTATTTATAACTAAATTATATCACAAGTGTATGGGAGCATTGTTAGTAGTGTGTTTGAGAATTTTCTTAGAGGTATATTGTTCGAATCCTTATAGCTGCACAAATTCTTCTATTTTTTTACCTTCGAATACAGAGGCGTGGGATTGGGGCGGGCTTAGGCTGAGTTGCAGCCCTAATCTCCATTTTATTTTTCCTTCAAGCTTCCACCTTCATTTCCACCTTGTTCCTTTGAGTATTTGAGGTTGCCATAGAAGAAAGAAATGTCGGGGACACCAAGGGCTTTCAAACCCTTGCTTTTATTTCGAGATTGGAGATCTTTGGAGATTTCGTGTGAGCTAGGGTGGGATTTGGAGGAAGCCACAAGAGGGTTTCTCACTCTCCTCATCATCTTCTTCAATTCTACGGCCTTGACTTTGCATTTGGAGCACTTTCATTTCGGTGGGATTTAGGGTTTTCACCCCAAAGTGAGGTTGGGCATGTGTTGCCTATTTAAATCTATAAATACAATTTTACAACTACTTATATCAATTTTATTTTCTCCTTATACAAGTTCTATCAATGGTTATCTTTACTGCATTTTTATGTCTGCTTTATACATGTATTTTCAATTTATTTTTTAACTTTCTTCTGTACATTTATTTATTTATTTATTGTAAGCATTTTATATTAACACTGATTCTAATCTTAGTGTATCAACTCCATCCATTTCAGAACCCTTGCCTACTTTTCACTGCATTTGGATGCTGTCGCAAATCCCCTTGTCCATTTCTTGAGTATTTGAAAGCAAATACAATGTCTCTCAAGAAAACGCCTAGTATTCACACAAATATCCTCACTACTATTGTCAATTTTTTTATTTGCTGCAATGGTAAGGTTGCTCCATAATAACCTAGAAGTCACGAATTCGAAACAGGAAACAACCTCTCCATATGCGGAGGCAAGATTGCGTACATCTAACCCTTCCCAGACCCTACAATGGCGGAAGCGTCATGCATTGGACTAGCCTTTTTACTTTTTCTTTTTGTTTCCTAAAAAGAATTAGAGAATATTGACAAGAATACCCCTTATGTCTCCTAAATATTTCAAGCAGGTGCATGGTAACCCTTGTGTTACAGAAAAATTCACAAAAAGAATTAAAGCCAAAAGAAAAAGACCATAGTTAAGATTAGAACTTATGCTTTGTTCGGTAGGAAAGAAAAAAATTGGATGGAAGGGAGAGAAGAAGGGATGGATGAGACATCCCCAAGGAATATATTGTGTATTTCCTTCTTTTTGTTCAGTTGGATAGAAGAGTAGAGAATAAACTTTTAATTTCCTATGTTCATTAAAAGAGAAGGAAAGAGAAAGTTTTAATTGTTTTTTTCCATTATATCCAATAATATTTATAATATTGTAATTTATAGAGACTAGTACTGTAATTTAAAACTTGTATAATTTAGAATAATATTTAATTTAAAACTTCTATAATAGTCCACTTGTCCTTTCTTTCTACCACCCATATTTTGGGGAAGAAAATTTGCTATTTTCTTTTCTTTCCTTGTATCTTCTCTACAAAACAAAGGGAGTTTGTTCTTTTCTTCTTATTTTCTCTCCACAAATCTTTCTTCCTTCCTACCGAACATTACAATAGTGTTGGCAAATTTCGTAACAAAAGCCGGAGTCTGTATTCTTGTTTTTAGCTCAATGATTAGTTTTTTATAAGTTACTTTAGTTAGTTAGTTAGTGATGGTACCTATGTCCAAGGACAAAATCAGAATTTGAAGATACATCAACGAGTAAAAATGTAAAATCACCTTTTAAATACCAACTCACTAATTAGGGTTTATAATCATACATTTTCAATTTAGGGCACAATTCATACATGTTTTGATTCATGAAAAAGATGTTTTGAATGCATGAAGTTGTTTGTGGAATAAAATATTTAAACAAAAAAAATTCACAAAAACATAATGGCTCGATCCATATTGATCGATTGAATTTTCAATATATGTTTATGGAAGTCCAAAATGCTTTGATCGATCAAAGCAATGCTAGGATTGCTCAAACCCTAGTTGTCGATCGATAGCTCGACCATCAACAATCACTCACAGTTTTTGAAAACTTCCCTAACTCAGAATCCTAGAAGGTTTAGGTTTCGTCTTCTGATTATAACTAAGAAACCTCAATTCCTTTTAACTCAAAGCACTCACTATCTAGAGACCTTTGGGCTCTCACACAGATATATAGAGGGATCTCTACACACATTAATGAGAGATCACACAGGAAGAGATCATATATTTAGAGAGAGCATACTTTATTTTCCCTCATCTACATCTTGCATTAGATGATCAGTTATAATTTAGAGTGTTGAATATCAGAATCCTTGTGCTGCACAATGAAATTCTACCTCGAATTGTCTCTAGACAACGAACAAGTAACTTAGATGGCTAGTTATTGGAGATCAAATCAATGGTTGGAGAAGCAGATACCCTGAGGAGCAGATCTATTCACGAGCGGATTGTATGTCTAGAGACTCAAGTGGAGAGAGTGTGGTGGATTGATCTGTGTCAAGAGGTGACCGTGACTGGGGTTCTATTGATTAGAAACTGTTTCGTTGTGTAAATCACTTTCTTTTCATTGTGGATTTGGCTTGCATGGACTAGGTCTGTAGTTTGTTCTTCTTGGAGTTTTTTCCATGTAAAAATTATTCTTCTTGGAGTTTTCCATGTAAAAATTATGCATTGCACTACTGCCATTGCATGATTTATTTATTTTTGGTCTCTATATTTAACTAATTCATATTGTTGTCCTTTAAATATAATTTTGATAATTTAAAATCAATTATTGTTAGTTACGTACAATAAAAGGTGGGCTCTAAGGCAATGGTAAGATTGTTCCATTTATTAAATTTTTTAAAATCATTTAACACAAGTACTGACCTATTTGTGAATTCGTATAATAAAAAAGGCTTAGTAATTATAATTTTTACTAAATTAAAGAATACTAAAAAAATTAAGTATGAAATAAATAAATATTCATACCATATATAACATGTGAGAAATTAAAAACATAAAAAATCAAAATCAAATTGAAAATCAAAAAAATAAAAATACAAGTCAAAAGTAGCAAGAAAATTATGGATTATAGAATATATAACATTTATATCACAATATAAATATGAAAATTTAAAAAAAAATGTAAAAAATAAAAATAAAATTAAATACAAGGCAAATCTGCTGATTAAGTTTATGAATCATAACATACATGACATAGATTTCACAAGTCCCCATTTACAAGTGAAAATTTAAAAAAGAAAAAGAAAAATAAATCTGAAAATTAAAATAAATAAATACTACCAGCGTCCTCACACGTTTTGGGAGGGAGAACTTGAAAACGTAATGTATAGTGGCATTTTAATGTAATGAATATAACAGCATATACAAATTATAAATATAATGGTTCTTTAATAGGTAGCTTGGTGGTAAGTTATCATGATCGTAGACTTCCATCAATTTTAACTAAAGAGAACAAGAACAGGAACATCATGTACATCAAACTATCAAAAAGGTAGTGTGTGTTCAGATTGAAAAGAGTAAAGAAAAGAACAGAAAATGAGGAATGAAGGAGTTAGTAATCAATCGTGTTGTTTCTACTTTTGTACTTCCCAAATCCCACTCACATAATAAAATAGCTTCTCTTCATTATTTTCCCTAACTAGATGGAAGGTCCTCCTATCATTTTTGTTATTTCCATTAGTTACGTAACACACATAGAATCAAGTTACCATCATTTATTTTCTCTGTCAAGTCTTAACCAATATTACCCTTTTATTTATTTATTTATTTCTAATTTCTAAATTCCCTAGTCACTACACAAATCTTTCCATTAGATTCCTTTGCTATATATATATATATATATATATATATATATATATAAAATTGAAGAACATGAAGAACAACTAATGCAAAAAATTGAAGAACATGAAGAATAAATAATGCAAAAAATTGAAGAACATGAAGAATAAATAATGCAAAACAAGCAAATATTAAATTCAATAGCAAATTGGTAATTACCTTTGAACCAAACGAAAGGAAGGGGTTCCGATCAGAATCTATTGTGGGGTCAAGCACCTCATCTAGCACCAATCCAGCACCAGCAACAAACAACCCGTCTCCTGGAATCCGATCCCCCTCCTCCAAGATCACCATGTCGCCCTTCACAACATCACAAACAGCAACCAATTTGAACTTCCCATTTCTTGTAACTTTAACTTCCAAATTCTTCTCTTTCATCAGCATCTTCTTCTCCAGCTTTTGTTCTTCAAGGAAGTTCTTCACAGCAGGGCAAGTCACAAGAAAGAAAACCGCCACCAATATAATAGTACCCTCCTGAAACCCGTATTTTGGACTTCTTTCAAACATTTGGGTGACGAGAGAGAGCACAGCCGAGATCAAGAGGAGAAATATGGTGTAACTGCTGCAAGCCTTCAACAGGAAGGGCAAAAAACCCCTTGCCCGAAATGGGTTATAAGCTTCCTGGCTAGGGTTTTCGTCGGGAAGTCCCCTCTCCAAATCAGAACGGAAAATTGAGGCGACTCGTTGGGTGTCACCGAAATCTCTCAGCTTACCCCAGTCCTTCTGCTTCACAATTCCATCAACGGTGTCCCGAAGGAGCTGTTCTCCGTCTTCACCGTCGTGAATTTCGACGGCGACGTGGGATTGGGAAGAGGAGGTTCTTCTAGGTTGTTCCGCGGTGGGGGTTGGTGGAAGAGGTACGTCCGAAGGCGATGGCTTCTTCTTGATCGTAACGAGAACGCCGACGGAAATACTGCGCTTCCAGAGGCGTCTGTATCGAGTGGTTGTGGACGTGATGTATAGGTCGGCGTGAATGGTGTTTCCGGCCATCTCGCACTCCATGATTTCGAAATGGGTTCAGGTGAAAAAGGATGGAAAGCAACTCTTGCCTGTTGATTGTCGCCGGCGAATAAGAACTGAAGTTCAAGGCTGAATTTCAATTCATACAGATTTAACCGTTTGATCGGAAATATGGAATTTGGGTGAAGAGGGATGCAAGTGATTGTAACCGATTTTTTGTCGCCGGCGGGAAGAATTGAAGGTCTGTGTGTAGGACGGCGACAGAAAGTTGAGATTAATTTATAATGGTTCACCAGAAATTTCCAAGAACTTGTCCGGAAATTTTGGGTAAAGTGTGTCTCCTCTTTGGACGCGAATTTGCTCCGGTGCAACTCTTTACCTACCTTCTTTGGTCAATTTTTACTAACCGGTTGGATCATAGCATTTTATAACTATCTATCACAACTAAAATTTTGTTAGTGTAGGAACATATTTGTAATATAAATTAGTACTTTAGTAATCAAAAAATTCAAACCAGTTTTAAAAACCCCAAATAATATAGGCCCTATTTGGGAGAGCTTCTCAGTCTCAAAAGTCCTTTCTTTGATAATGCATTCTTACAAGGAATTTTGTCTAAAGGAATTCAGGGCAAAAAAGTTGTTTGGTAAGCGATTTTTTAAAGGCCGTTTAATTATTAAAGTAATTTTTGTCTGACAAAATTACCTGTCTCCCTCGTGCTCTTTGGTACAGCTGATAAAAAAAGAAAAATATAATATATATACATATGTATATATATCCATTCAGATCATCTCCAGTATTCTACCATTTCCAATAAAAATATAAATAATAAATGGTCTGTTCAAAACAACGTGAAAGATCATTAGACAAAATACAAATTGAAAATTTGTAGCCCAATCACCAAAATGAGAATGAAGAACACAGCCATTAACTTCCCAAAGAAAATTAAAAATCATCCCCATTTCACTCCTTAAAGCAACCCTCAACATTAGTTGTATCATAAATTTCAACTTGAAATTAGCATGTCTCTAAAACCACTGGCAATTCATCACCAAGTAAAGGTTCACTTTGAAGCCCCCTTCTACTTTCTATTTATATATGTATATTTATATTTTGTGTATAGTGATTAAGGCAATTGATTTTCTCGGTTGAAGAAAATTTACTTGGAAGAAAACCACCACCACTACTATCGTTCTCTCTAATGGTGGTCGCCCACAACATAAGGGCCTGTTCGGAGGCCCATATCTGATATTGTTTTGGTGTTTTGATTTTAGTTTTGGGCCAATATCATGTTTGGAGTGGGCTGATATGGTATTTAACAGTGCCAAAACATTATCATTTTTGGGCCAAAACCCATATCAACATTTTGGTGATATTTAGACTGATATGGCACTGTAGCGGTGAATTGATCTCAAACCAAAACCAAACCAACCCTCGTTTTTACTGTAGCGGTGATATCATGTATATAAGGTCGCATATCAGATTTTAGGTCATTTTTCAGCATCGTTTCTCTCTCTTCGCGTAGCTCCCTGAAAGGCGACTTCAGTGGCGATCCAACCTTTTCCACCACCGATCTGGCAGAGCTCCTCCACCAGGTACATCATTTTGTGTCTCTGTTTGTATCTATAGATCACATATATCTTCGCTTTTGAGATTTACATTTTGGAGGTCCTCGTGTTCACTTTCTCTCTCTAATATTGTGACAATCAGAGTCTATATTGCGTTTCCAAGTTCTGATCTTTATTCCAATCATGTTGTGAGTGTTGTAATTTAGGGCATTTGTGTCCAGATCTCAAGTTTCTCCACCACCGATCTGGCAGAGCTCCTCCACCAGGTACGTCATTTTGTGTCTCTGTTTGTATCTATAGATCACATATATCTTCGCTTTTGAGATTTACATTTGGGAGGTCCTCGTGTTCACTTTCTCTCTCTAATATTGTGACAATCAGAATCTTTATTGCGTTTCCAAGTTCTGATCTTTATTTGAATCATGTTGTGAGTGTTGTAATTTAGGGCATTTGTGTCCAGATCACAAGTTTCATGAGGCTGTGACGGAGATCTAGGGTTTGATTTTAGCCCTGTTTCTGGGTTGTTTCTTCTATCAACCATGGTTCTGATATAAGGGTTTATATGTCATCCATCGATTGTGTGTGTTGTAATGTGGAAGCAATTAGAATGTTGACTGAGTTAATTATAACTATCGATTTTAGCGATATTTTCAAGATCTGTTCCTGGTCCAAATTACAATTTTGCAAAGGATCTGTATTATGTATAAATCAACCTAACAGGCTCTTATATCATATCAGGCTTGATCGTACATTAAAAAGCAAAATTAAAATTGATATGTATAAATTATTAAATTGTTTGAATGATCAATTTGTTGTATTATATTATTTAAGGACAAATGGGAGGACAAAAGATTCGACAAAAGGATAAAATTTAAACATTCATCAACTTTTAAATTCTCAAACTTAGGATGATGAAATCTACAGCCAATATATATATATTTTTTTTAATTTGTGCATTATATTGGCTAGGCCCCGCCAATATTTTAATGTATGCTTCACAGTTCTGTAAACATTCAAACCAGTATAATTTAGACGACTTGAAAAAGAAGAATAAATACAAGTAAATCCTAGAATAAAATTTAAACTAGGGAATTCAAATATCAACAGAAAATGGAGTTTCACTATTATCTTTCCACAAGACCATAACCAACAAAAACAGACCCTAAATGTAAAAAACAGAACAAGACTTGAGAATACAAGAATTAGAGTACTAATCTTGATAACAGAACAACTTCCAGCTACAGCACCAAGAAATCCAAATGATAACCCTGATATTATGAAGAATACACCTAAAAAAAAACACAACAGACCTGGTCAGAGCTAACAGGCCTGCTGCAGAGTAAGAGATGGCACAACATAAGCAAAAGCATTAGATCCTCAAAACAGATTCAGGCAAATCCAAATCCTGTTCTGAGTTAGCAATTTATTTAAACAGGCAAGCGAACAGATAAAAGAATGCTTGTGAATAGCTCCTTTAAACCAAACAGTCTCATTCCAAGCAACAACATTTTTCTTAGGTCTAATATTTTCCCAAGTAGTTTTAATGGTAAACTGCCCCTTACTAGGTAACAAAATAACTCGATCATTATTTAGAAAGGCTGGAAATCTGAAGGTATGGCATTCCTTAGCTCAATAAGCTCAAGGGTGTTGGTTTGAGGCCACTGCCAGTGGTTATTAACTATAATATCAGCCACAGTTGTTTGTTCATTGTAAACCTGAGTCAAAGATGACTCTATTACCTATTCTCATCACAATAGGGCTCATAGGGAGCCAATAGTCATTCCATAACCAAGTGTGTGTCCTTTTACCCACTTGATGCATAATAAACATTCTAAAGTTAGTTCTAATTTGTAAGATTTTCCTCCAGCTCCAAGAACTACTTTGAGGAATTTTAATAGACCAAAAGTCTCTATTTCTAAGGAGATGAACTTTAACCCATTCAGTCCATAGAGATTGAGGCATCACTTGAACAACTTCCCATAAGTTCTTAGCCATAGCGGCCCTGTTCCAAGCATTCAACTCCAAAGACTCAAACCACCTTCCTTTTTAGGATAACAAACATCCTCCGAAGCTACTTTTGAACCAGCATTCATTAAAGAACTACCCTTCCACAAGAAATGCATTAAAACTGAATTTAATTTATTAAAAAGAATAGCCTTATTATTTTTTTTTTTTATAAGTAATAATATTTAAAAAGGCGTTCAATAGGGGAACTCGTCCCGTAGACATAAAAGAAACCGGGGTCTAAGGCCCCAAAGAATCCAAAAAAGAAATTAAATCAACAGAAGAGGAACACGAACTTTTGTTCACATAACTAAATAGAGAACGAATCGCTTGTTGAATATTTGAATATTCATTGGTAATATAAGAAAAAGAATAAACATTTACATCTCTTTGAAAAAAATGCACTGATAATTTGTCAAATCTTGTCAATTCACATTCGCATATTTGTTGATATTATACAAAAATTCATAGGGTTGCAATTAAGTTTCTAAAGAATGGCCTAAAGAATACTATTATACATTTATTTACTGGAACACTCACCATGCACTAAATGATTAGAATATTCTCTCAGTATATTATGCACACATCTGAAACAAAAATATGATTGTTGCCATCCAGAGGTATTACTTCTGTGAAATGTACTTGCAATAATATTTCCCTGAAATTTCGTAAAGAGATAAAGACAGTACCTTGTGTGTTATACTGCTATATACCACTTTCCTTCACCTTGCTCTTCGTGAGATGAAGTGTTTTATAGACAGTACATTTTTTACTTATCATTGACGTGTTAAATTATGAGTCAAAACACAATTCAATATACTAAACTGTTCAATTACTTAATAATAATCAGATGGACATGAACAATGACAATGTTGAGCAATACCCATCAAGAGACATTCATTCTCTTGATGGTGACAATGGTGAGGATGTTGTAGTTGTTGAACAGGCCGATGCCGCTGTTTGGTGTAATGCCCATCAAGAGAAATTCATGCTCTTGATGGAGGAAGAGGTTGGAAAAGGAAATCGTACAGGCACGACTTTTAATCCAAATGGGTGGACACATATTGTGGACGCAATGTTATTAGAAACTGGAAAGAAGTACACGAAGGACCAATGTAGACAAAAATTCAATAATATAAGAGCATTGTACAAAGATTGCAAACAAATATTATCTGAGACTGGTGTAGGGTACAACAGTGAAACTGGAATGATTGACTTGGAAGCTGAAAGATGGGTTCGATTGTGCAAGGTTAGTATTTCAATACGTGTCTATTTACCATACATACAGTAAGTAATTAGTGATTTAGTATTAAAAGGGTTTGATGAACAATAATTGTAAGTTGATAACGTGTAGGTTCTCAAGCATGGAAAAAAAATAAAAAAACAGGGGTGTAAGAATTATGAGCAGATGGTAAGGATTTTTGGGAATACACATGCTACTGGCAAGCATGTTCATCCTTCTACAAAGCCACCCAGACCTCACCAAGTGCTAACAATGCCTCAAGTGGCAACACATGAAGCTCAAATTCATAACATTGAGGGCAATGTGGGCATGACTGATGTAGAACGACCTAATGTAGAAGGACCTATTGACCTCAGTCCTACTCCCAAACCTATAGCTAAGAAACAGAAGAAAGAAACTTTTTCAGAAACAATGTCTTTAGTGATGGAATGTTTGACTAATATTGGGAACGCGAAAGCTGAAAAAATTGCAAAAGCCATAGCAGAATCATCTTCTAGTTGTCAACCATCTCGATTTACCGAAATGCCTGAAGTGACATCTCCCAGTAAAAAAGAAAAAGAAATGGATCCCCAGCTTGAAGAGTGCGTCAAGATCGTCAACACATTAGTGGGGATTGATGATACCCATTATGCTAAGATCATAAGGATGTTTGGTGAGGACAAGGAGTGGAGGGATATATTTCT